ATTTTGGAGTTTGGAAAAAATTTTGGAGTTTCGTACAGGTATGATCACGATACTGCTGAACTCTAGTTTATGTTTCTTTGAATTACCGTATATGCTCGAATAATTACCCTAGATAATTATTGTTTCAACTCCTTGCTATGAGGGATAATTAATCGAGAGGTGTAATTATTTGAGAGAGGGTAATTATTCAGGCATATACTGTAAATAAATTTTTATAATTTTATTAAGGATTTAATAGTGCCTATTCTGGCAAGAAAAATAAATTACTACCCTACCAATATCGATAATTTCCATTGGCAATCGAATTAAAACATCCTATTTATTGATTTTTCTCGTCTATGTATAGCCTTATACAAGGGTGTATAGACTTATACAACTTATATTCTATCTCCTTTTTCTTCTGTTCTCTAGCTGTCTCTCTTCCTTTTTGCACTCCTCTCTTCCGATTGCGAGTGATCGATGTTGAAATCCCAAATCTCCATTTTTTCTATTAGATTTTAATTTTTCTAACATTTTCATAGATAAGTAAAGTCTCTCAATCTTGCAGAAACTGTGGGAATTTTTCTTTTTTTTGGAGAAAATTTATTTCAGGAACTTTTAAATGCAAAATCAACAATAGAGAGATTTGTTAGCCAAAGAAGCAAAATTGAACATAAACAAAAAACTTTCTAAAATTATTATTATTTATTATTTTTAATTACATATTTAACATCAAAGGAAAATTTTAATTTCATTTTGTCAATTTACATGTTATTATGTAAAATTGCACTTTTTATTTATTGAATATTGTGAAATATTGCCCTTGTAAAAATAAAAGGGCAGATTTTAAAAAAGGGCATATACACAGCTTTACATTACTCAAATCTTCCGACAAAATAAAAATATATTCACGTGTTATTCTTTCAAAATAGCAAATAAGTCTGTCAAAAATCTTGAGAAAAGTTTTTTATTAACTAAATAATTATAAATTTCAAATGTATATGTTTTTATCAGAAAGTCAATTTTCAATTCTTTTTATTTTCAAATTTATAGTATGTGATTGAGTAATAAAGGCCTGAAACTGAGATTCAGGCTTATCTTCTTGAATGACATACAAATTTTTAACTTTTTCTATACCGTATTTCCTCTAATAGTGCGACCGGTCGTTATATTTTTCAACCTTCCTATAGGGGTCGGTTTATTAGAAGGGGTCTGTCTAATAGAGAGAGTGGCACTATTAGAAGAAATAAGGTAATTGTAACCTGCACTTTTTAAAAATTAAAATTTAATTTTTTAATTTAATTTTTTATTTTTATTACAAAATATCTACAGTAAACACTTACAGACTATCTATTCTCAAAAATATACACGCCCTTTCATTTCACAAATTTCTTTTAAAATGGCCGGGCAACTTTTAATAATTTATTATTTTCTTTTTTATTTATTTAAATTTTTTTAATTATTAGATTTATTTTTTTAAATATTATTTAATTTTAAATTAACAAAAATGGAAGATTTTTATTTTTTACTTTTAATTTAAAACTAAAAATAAAAAGCTATTGAATAACAAGACAGCTTTACAAACATTTACCTATCTAAATAATTATTATTTTTTTATAGAAATGAAAATTAATTTTCTCCAATTTCCCCTTCCAATTATTATTTTCCTTTTAATATTTATTTCTTTTGCTTCGGCAAATTTTGAGTTTATTGTTAGAATTTCCGGAACATGGACAAAACTTCGAGAATATCATTGGCTTGTTTCTGTAGAACCGAAAGAACGTTTTAAATGTTCTATGATTAATAAAGACTCTATTAAATATGAAGGAGACTTTTTCGCGGAATTTTTAAACAAAGACATGTTATTTAATTTTAAAATTAGTGGAAGTAAAGAAGGTGGTTGGTATTTAGAATGTGAAGTAAATAAACCTAAATTTATCGAACATTTGTTACCTAACCTTGAAACTCAGGTACGGACATTGAAAATATTAGAGACTCCTTAAAATGAGACTCCTTAAAATTTAGAGACTCCTTAAAATGGTACCTAAATAGGTTGTATAAAGGCCAAGCTAAGAAAATCCGATCTCTAAATATAATTATAGCCCCTCGATCGGTATCGATATCTAAAATTTTTGTATTTTATTATTATGTATTATTTTTATTATTTTCTCTTAGATATAGGTATTTTATTTTAAAAAATCCCCAAAATTTTTGAATCCATTTTCTAGGCTTTAGTGTTCGAAACATTTACATTTTTTCAAAGTTTTTGAGAAGTTGATAGAACTATGGAAACATACTATAGAAGTACCAAAATAATAGTATCAAGACTTAGAGGACGATAATGTTACTTAATGTAATGTTTCCAAAATCGTAGTGGGTAAATGTCCAGTTCGCTATCTACCTGTCCGCAAAGGGAATGCTCACTTTTCCTTCCCTCTTTGTATTTTTTGCGTGCTCGCCTATTTTTCCTTCTTGTTGATACAGCGTAATTTTTATTTGGAAAGGAGGGAGAAAATTTGGTTAAGTGCGAACCAGGGCTGGGCGAAATAGAAAATTTTTATTCCAAATCGAAGCGAAATAAAATAAAAATTAAAAAATTGATATTTTTCAGATCAAGAAAGTCTGAAATCGTTAAAAAATGATAAATATAGACACCAATAGCTAGATTCGAGACAGAAACATTACAAAGCCAAGAGAGGACCCTCAAATCTACCGATATCCAGCCTAATCCTTCAGATCCATGCCATTAATCCCCCTCCAAATTACCCGATGCAACTTCAACTCTCAAATCCACCTATATTTAGGGATTAAAATTGATATTAATGGATTTTCAGTGAAGGGATATCTCCTTCTTCTAAATGAAAAGGTATACGGTAAAAAGGAAAAATAGGCGAGCACGCAAAAAATGCAAAGAGGGAAGGAAAAGTGAGCATTCCATTTGCGGACAGGTAGATAGCGAACTGGACATTTACCATCGTAGTGTTTCCAAGGGACAAACTGCTAAGGATGCCGAAATTTTAAAGTAACCAGTTCATTAAGTGACTATTAAATAAATCAGCAACACATTATATATATTTTTTAACTTTAAGAAAATAAAGCGACATTTATATGAACTTGGATTCAATGATATAAAGACTGTTTCTTTTTTAAATAATCCAGAAGCCAATATTAATTTCATGGATGAAAATTTGATGAAGGCTCTACAAGCAGTTCAACATTTAAGTGGTAAAGAATATGAGATTCGTTCACTTGGATATTCAAGGAAATATGAGGAAATTTCAAAAATGATTCTTCAACAAAGTTGGAGAGAATATAAATATGGAATTATTTATTTGGAATTGTACAATATTAAATTAATATTTAATAATTTGATAAAACGGCCACAAAATGATGAGAATAAAAAGCAATTTCTAGATGCGATTTATGATATTTATAAAAAAGTTGTAAAAATTGGAATGGAATTACAAAATAAGAGTGGTGGAGGGACTGGTAATTATTTATACATGGATACCGTAAAAACTGTATTAACTACCCTGGATAATTATTGTTTCAACCTTTCTCTGGAGGGGGTAACTAATACAGGCGGGGTAATTATTTGAGTGAGGGACATTAATATAGTTTTTACGGTAATTATTTTCTAAATAATATTTGTTTGCTAATATATGTCTTATTAATTTCATTTGTGGTAGCAATCCGATCCCCGACATACCCGGCCCCAAGGGTTCGAGTTGCTACCATAATTTTATTAATATAAATAAATAAGACCTCTTTGTAACCTTTTGTTATACTGAAAATTTAAAAGTTAAAAAAGTTATAATGAAAATTTTTCACGTAAAAAATTTTTTTTAAATATTTAAATTATTAAGAACAACAACCTGCTACTCAACAAAATGAAATAAAAATGTTTACATTAAATGAGTTAATTAATGTTTTATCAACAGATTTAACTTCACAACAATCAAATACTACTCCAAATATTCAACTAAACGAAACAATTTCGCCATCCTTTCACCCTGGGAGTAGTTCTAGTAAACAACCAATACATGCAAATCAACGTAATTTTTAATTATAATTTTAAGATTTTATAGAAAAATGTTTTATCATAAGAGTAATAAACTAGGTAATTTTGGAAATATTCTGATTATTTCTAACATTAAAATATATTCAGTGTTTTAAAAAATGCCCAAATATTTTACCTAACCAAAAAAAAGCTTTAATCAACTCAGTGTTTGATTTTTTCAAAAATTAAACGAAGCTCGGAGCTTTGATTTTTAGAAAGAGCTTTAATTTTACTTCTTTAATTTTACTTTACTTCTGGACAATCTCAAATAATCTTTAATTAAGTACCAAATATTCAACATGAGAATATAACACATCGACCACATTCAATTCCTCTACATAATCCAAATATAAATTTACAACATCCAAGACAACCACGACCAACTCAGGCACATATCATGCAACAAAATTTAGCTAGAGGTATATTTGACATTAGGGTTCTCAATATGGACCGACTCGGAGATCGAACTGGCATAAGATATTTCATTCGAAAGTCCGGCCCGACTCGATAAATTAAGCCCTAAAAAATGGCTCGGAAAAATTTGGCCGGACTCGCAAACGCCAACCCTATTAGACATGTATAAATTTGAGCATTGTTTAGCTATTATCTAGTATTGTCTAGATAGATTGAACCAATTTAAAACACTTTTTGAACTTCCACTTTCAAGATATTTTATACAAAATATCATCAGAATATTTTGCTTATCCGTGGAAATAATGATTTAAATCCTTGTACAATTTTAGGATCGACTTTAAATCATCCAAGATTAATTGTACCTACTATCACTGGGAGTGATTATTTGCAGATACAAAATTTAAACCGCAATTTTCGCCCCAGCTCATCGCAAACAAACCAGAATCCAATACATGATCAATTGTTATTTCAGAGATTGCCACCGCCGGGTCTTGGGAAACGTAAAAAATTTTTGATATTTATTATAGCTTAACCATTTTTAACACACTTTAGCAGGGCAACCTTTACAAAGACCACCAATTCAGCACCAAGGGCAAACTAATCAACAGCAATCTACGCAACAACATCCAATACCTTTACCGCAACCTTTACAAAGACCAATTCAGCATCAAGGGCAGTCTATTGCAACAACATCCACTACGCAACAACATCCATTACCAAATATTGGATCAACCAATACAAATATATTTAAAGTTATTTTCTCCTAACTAATAATATTCAAAACATTTATAGCCAATTGTATTGCCTAATTACCCATTGCCTCAACAATTGACACAACGTACTGGTAGTACTAGTCATTTTAATGCAGCTGCTGGAGTTGGACAACTACATAATACAAAGGGGTAAATAATTAATAGAGTTCGAGTTCTTCAAATTCCGGGCTATTGTAACCTGCCCAGGGTAGGGGGTTTCGAGATTTGAACCCTCTGAAACCCAGAAAACCCATTTTTTGCATCAGGGCTCTGACCGGGCTTATTAGATTTCTTCATTTTTACTTTTATTTTACTGATTTGCTCAATAAATAAATAACACACTTGTTTAACACTTGAATAGTTCCCCACTCTCAATTAATTGTTGAAACATTAATTGCCTGTAGAATCAATCGAGTAAATACGGTAGATAATTTTTGATCAACATTTTCTGATATATAAATAACTATATTTAAAAAATCAAAAAATTAATTTAATTAGAATTATCGCCCTTCTATTTGGAGGATGATCATTCTGAGGATGATCATTCTATTTGAAAGACCTGGTATATTTGATGGCGAGATTATTATCAGGGCTCTGACCGCTAAGAAGCCACGAAGTCAGGGGTAAAATCAGTAAGTCCAAACTGAAAACCTAGTTTGTAAGAAATTCCAGGTAAACTGCTTTTGATCCCTATCCTGTTTCGAGGTCTATATATAACCTAAAGTTCAACATCTAATAAAAAGATATACTTCAGATCTTCTAGTAGTTCTCTACAAGAACATCAAATGTTTCCTCCTGGATTTGAGCACATAGCAAAGAAAAAGGAAATAGAACGACTAGAACTTCAACAGAAACAAAATCAACAACAACTACTTCGCCAGTATCAAAATAAAGAACAAGCAAATAATCCGTTACCAATATTTAATAAAAATTCAAATGTCTTTTCTGGCCAAACATTACATCAACAACTCCAGCAACAGCAATCAAAACAGTTTGGCACTCAACAAGGACATTTTCCGAGATATTTTCAACAATCTGGACAAGGAACATTGCAGCAACAAACTCTAAAGCCAGAACAATATTTACAACATATTAACCGTCAACTACAAAAAGACTGGCAAAATCCATTCCAACAACAACCCCAATCGCAACAAAATACGGGAACTAGTTCGCAAAAAAATTACTTAGATTTGTTAGACAAACTAAAGTCGGGTGTTGAGAATCCGAATATAAGTACCCAACAAATTGCTGATAATTCAAATAAAGGTGGGTCTTTTAAAGTTAGTGCTTTAATTAGGATTATTATTAATGTAATTATATTAACAAAAATAAATTATCAAAAAATATTAATTCAAAAATATTAAGAGATCGGCACAGGACTCGAATAATATAACATTTGTTTTAAATGTGGCTCGCAAAATTTTGCTGCATTTATAAGAGTGTAGCCATATTTTTTGTTGAATTATGTGAAGATAATAATACCTATATTAATTACTAAAGATCGCCATAGGACGTGATCTCGTCCTAAAATCACTATTTTAAATTTTGGGGTCCCCAACCACTCGAAAATCAGTATTATTACCAATTTCTATCAATCACACATTTGTGGGAAGTCTTTCCCCATAGAAAACAATAATTTATTCTTAAATGAGCTTTTAAACAAAAATATATTTTTATAAATTATTATTTTAAGAAGACAATCAACAAAATAAAATTCATGTAGATTTAACTTTTGAAGCTGAAGAAACAGATATTCAAAACAAAGAAAACCCCAATAAAGATAATGAAAAACACCAAAATTTAGTTAATATTGAACAGAATAAACAAATAATTGAAGATATAAATAATCAGCTAAAAAAGAATGAAGATATTAATAAAATTGAGACTTCAAATAAACAAAAGGAAATTGTCTCTGATAAGAGAGGTTTTTCTAAATTTGTTTAAAATAAATAATTAGAATAATAATAATTATATTATCATTATTATTAATAATTAGAATAATTAATTAATAATTAAGGAGAATAATTAGAAATTTAAAATCACTTTAAATTAAAATCCCTTATGGATCTATTTATTAAATACCTCTTAGTGCCAAATTATTTTTTTAAAATATATTCCCTTAAAGTGCCAAATTCTGAAAATTTTGTTGGTGATATTCCCTCTTCTAACAAACAAAAACAACCTTTGGAAGGTACTTCAAGTACTTTTGTGAATAATGAACTAAATGATGAGGAAATGGATGCTTTGCAAAATTTATTGGCTTTGTCTTCATCACATCCAACTGAAATTATTCATAGCGTTGGGTAAAATTTATGTATTTAATTTTAAAAAATATATTTAACGAATCTATGTAGGTTTTAAAATAACAAATTTAAAAATAAACATTCCTGTTTACATAGACGATAGTTCCTTATAAGATTATTCATGAATTTTTTAATATTAAACGATTTAGTTGTTTGTAGGCTGCCGTGCATGTTAGTCTGGGGCTTTAGAGAAAAATTTTTCAATAAATTTTTGTTAAAAGAAAAAATTATCCAGTTTTCCTTTAGTGCCGAAGGTGAAAATCCTTGAATTTTTTGCAAACTGAAGCCGATAACCCCACATTTTCCGGCATCTTTTATGTTCCAGTTCAATCCAGCAGCCAAATATTTATCGTTATTTTACTTTCAAATTTTATTTTTTATGAATATATATTAATATATCAGTAAAAAATTTTTTCTAAAATAATTTTTTGAAGTTCAACGACACAAAATAAAGAAGAAGAATTACGAAAAATAAAAGGAAAAAAAGTAATAGAAGAGGATGAACAAAACCCAAAAGAAATTGAAATGCAAAAAGAAATAGAAGATTATCTATTACAACCTACAAATTTTAGTGGGCAAACGGAAATTTTAGAAAAACTTGATCAACTGGTTTGTAGATCGAAGTTGTTAGTCAAATCTTCGGATACCGATTCCGGATATCCAAAAGCTGTACTCGATATTCAAGTTTTGTTTAGGATATCTGTTCAAAATATCATTTAATTACCTAAGGCTGCGAACCTTGGCAGCCTTAGCTGCGAAACTTGGCAGCCTCTATTTTCTATCTTTCTCGATAAGGAACCTGTTTTATGAAAAGAAATGTTTTAGAGAATTTACGGTATCAGAAGAATTCAGAAAATTTAATTGTTAATTAATTAACTATAATTTTCCAGAACATATTAAAATTAAATGAAAATTCGAAAGCTGGAGAATCATCAAAAAAGAGTCAAGATAATTTAGAAACTGATAAAAATAATGATAAAGGTTTTTGTATTATTTTTAGTCTAATTTAGATTATTTAAAAATATTTAGAGCCAATTAAAGACAATTCTTTATCATCTTCATTTAATAAAGATTTTGATAAATTAATTAACTTGGATGATCAAGGGAATAATGAAACACAACAAAATTTAGATAAATTTCCAAGTTTTAAGCATTGGCAAAATCCAGGTATATTTAGTTACTTAAAATTAATTTTGTTTAATAATAAATTTATTTTTTAAACAATTATGTCCAATATCGGAAAAATTAACAAATTATAAATATTAATTTCCGATATAAAATGATAAAGTCAGACTGGATCTGTATCCAAAAGATTTCAGATCGTATCGTGTTTGAGTCGAAATAGGCCGCATTTCGTGTAATGTAATTTGATTCTAGGGAAATAGAATTTAAAATACCCTGATTTCTATAGGAGATAATTCTAGAGCTATCTCTGTTCGATTTTTAGAATCCTCATATTTAGTAATATGTACGAAAATAACAAATAAAATTATAATTTATAAAATTCTCTAGATCCATCTATTTTTGATGTTGGGCATTCTTCAACAGAAATTGATATTCCGAGAGAAAATGAAATACAACCAGGCACATATCTACTATAATTATAAAAATTAATTAATATTTTATAGGTAATGTTAGCATTTCCCACGATTCAAATACAGTACAAAATCAACAACAAACTGATAATTTTGCCGAAGAAATTAGTAAAAACATCCCCAAAATAAAAACTAAAAAAATTCGGCGTTTGCACTTTGACAAGATAATTTCTATGGTTTTTATTTTAAAAATTAAAATAATTATTTGTTGGTTTATTTCACAAAAATACCAGTGGTTATTTCCAAAAATAATTTTGTAATTTATTCTACATTTCCCCATGGTGACATTCTACAAATAGCTTTGATTACTTTTGTTATTCTGGAATTAACATATAGAATTAAAGAATCCGTTGCCTGTCTGCTTTAGTTAGTCGCTATCAGTGCTGGGTATTTGGCATTTGTTGGCTCCGGCTCCGGGCATTTCAAATTCATGGCTCCGGCTCCAGCTTCGGCTACGGTGTTTTCAAATCTAAGCTCCAGCTCCACCGGCTCCGGTGGCGGGCTCCGGAGCTAGCTCCCGGAGCATACCCAGCACTGGTCGCTATTATTTATTTGAATAAGTGGCACACAAAAACTGCTGAGGCATCACTACTATCAGTATGTAAAATACCCAACACTCCCCTTTAAGCATATAAATTCCTTGATTAAATTTAAATAACAAGCCAAATAAAATTAAATAGAAAAATTTTAAAATATTTTTAGTCACAAAAAGAATCTGAAGAATGCTCCCAAAAACGCGGACCTTCGACAAGACTTCGCTCACGAAAATGTGCAACGATGAAAGATTCAAAAAGAAAGTCCCCAAGCCCTTCGAACAATGAACTTGAAGATTCAGATAAAAATACAAATTTAAATGAAAAAATTGACAAAGACGGAAAAGATAAAGAAATTGAAGTCAAAAATTCTGATAATTTAAATTCAAATAAGGTTTTATTATTATTTGAAATTAATTTCTCTTTTATTAAAATTAAAGAAAATAGGGACACTCAAAGCTCAATCATCTGGAGGAAACCGTAGAAAATATATAAAATTATCTGAACTTGACATTTCAAAAAAGTTTGACAAAAATGACAATCAAAAACAAGATCAGGTGATTTTTGATACAAACAAACTTTTTTGTTGTTGGGGAATACATTATTTATTTTAATAATGAACAGTCTCTTATAAGAACAGTCTCTAAAACAGCACGTTTTTATATTAGAATAGACTGCAATGTGATATGCTCTAAAAAATTCTAACATTTAAACCCCGTTCCCAGACCAAATATTACATCCTGACCTCGTCTTGAAACAATTCGAAAACCCCGTACCCCGACACAACCGCCCTCGAGCGTTCGGGACATAACCCTATTTAGTGTCCAATCGAAATATATGAGTCCACTCAAATTTTATAATCCATCGATACTGAATGAACTCCGTATAGTTCGATTAGACCAATAAACTCTAACATAAAATTATTATTTTCTAGACGAGCGAAGCTTCCCATGATAGTCCAAAATTGCCTTCAGTCTCGGCACCTGCAATATTACAACATCCCAAAAAGCCAAGATCACCTAGAGGGAGTCAAAATAAAAGTGATGAGGCTATTTCTAAATTAGAATAAAAAATTATAAATTATATTTAGTTGGGTAATTACATTTTATTTACTCTAATAATGCCCTGAGGTATTTGATAAATAGATCAGATGAGGAGATTTGTAAGAGGGCGTGGGTTATTATTAGAGTGAATACGTAGTATATATATCTATCTATTTTATAAAAATTAAAAAATATTTAAAAATAATTATTATTCATTTTAAATTTAAAATAACAAATTATACTATTATGTATATACTTTTAGTTATCTTTGTATCATCACTTTTATAAAATAATCACTAATATCTTTTTAATTAAACTTTGTATATCTAACTAATTATATTCTATTATAATTTATTTAAAATGAAGTAAATTAAAATTTTCAATTGTTTCCAATATCCAACAAAATTTCCAATTCTAAATTTTCATTCTTCTAATAGTGACTCTCTCTAATAGACCGACCTTTTAGATGATTGTTGAAAAATAAACCGACCTGTTGCACTATTAGAAGAAATACGGTATTTCCCTTTCATCAATATTTGTTTTTTAAATTCTTTACAAAATTCATTAAATCTAAATTACCGTATTTATCCTAATACATTAGCCTCTCCAATTAAATGGCCTCTTTTTGGGGTATCGAAAAATAAAATGCGGCCATTCTATTAGAATAAATACGGTATTCAATTTTTAAAGTTTAGTTATTAAAATGTTAAATTTTGTGATTTTCTTTATTTATTAGCTAAAATAAAGTTCTTTTATCTGGGCTGAACTATTTTATATTAAAAAATGAGATATTTATTTAAAGAGAAGTGATAAGTAATTTGTAGAAATTAAATTTAAATTATAGTTTATTAGCTAAAGTTGATTTTCCTATATAGTGTGGAAACGGATTGGGAAGATAAGGAAGAGAAATTCTGAGGGAGTAAAGGATTAATTTACATAATTTTATAATTTTTACAAAAATTTTAAGAAGATACACTGCGGTGCATATGTTTATGCACACTAGTTTTTTGTTCATAATTTTATGCAATCTTATTCAAAAAATACGTTCTATATAGCAATCGAAAGCTCTATTTGTATCTCAGTTGGCATGTTTCTGCATTTTCCATGAAAATGAAAATTGGCCGAGATAATCCGGATCTACCGGATATACCAAATCCCATATCCTCAGAAAAATTTTTCGGAAAAAATTTAACAAACCCATTTGATAAAGCATATTTTTGTGAGTATTTACCACAAAACCGCTTAGAAATATCTTTTTCCGGAACGGAGATATGATTTTTTGAAAAACTAAAAAAACGCGATTTTTTGACGAAAAATGGCAAAAATATGGTATTTTTTCGATTTTCAAAAATTCGTAACTCGGTCGAATCTCGACCGATTTGGATGATTTTTTTGTATTATATGTAGAATCTAGAGGAGAATCACATATATTTTTTACAGACCTCAAAAAAATTTCTTCGAAAAGTTGAAAATGTAGTACCTGTTAGACCGGTCGAAAAGTTTTCGAAAATATCAGAATTTCGAAAAATGCAGAAACATGTCAACTGAGATACATATAGAGCTTTCGATTGCCATATAGAACATATTTTTTGAATAAGTGTGCATAAAATTATGAACAAAAAACTAGTGTGCATAAACATATGCACCGCAGTGTATACCTAATTCACATTTTAATATAAGTATCATTTTTTTATTCGTTAAAAAATAATTTTTTGATTAATTTGGACAGCTTTTAGGGACTCCCTTTATTCTTGTTTAATAAAATATGCATATATATATATTTATAAACATTTTTGTTATTTTTGCTTCCTGCTGTGTTGAGAGAGTAAATGAAGCTTATTTGTTCATGTCATTTTTGCTTATTTCAAATTTATTTTGAAAGCATTATTTAATTCATCCAAAATATTTTTAGAAGGGATGAGTGTGTTAGGCATGAAATGAATAAAATATTTATTACTTCCCTGTTTTGGAGCTTCCAAGCTAAAAATGAATTTTTTTAAATTATATTTTAAAATAGCCTGTAAATTTATGGAATGCTCAACTCTTTTAGGAATTAAATAAAAAAATTAAAAAATTAAAATTTTTTCTAATTAGATAATTTTTACTTCTTTAAAAAAATTTTGATAATTTATAGAAAATGATTTTTTGTCTAAAAATAATTTTAAGATATATGTACTTCATGCCAGATATGTATAATCACTTGCTCCTCGATAATATATTTTCTTAAATTTAAATTATAATTTTCTATTAATTTTTATTCCAATCTGGTAAACCTTATTTACATGCAAACTCTAATTGCTTACAAAGCTGTTTCCATGGGGCCGAACACTAATAATAATAATGGGAGTAAGGCATAAATACATATTTTATTTTTATTTATTATTACTATTTATGTTCTCGAATATAATTTATTTCATTCACTAAAAATAAAATTTCATGTGGCGCCAGAAACTTTTGATGATTTTTGGCCTTTCCATTGTCTTTTTCTTTTTATTTATTGTGTCTACCTATTTTGGTTTTTTATAATAATATGCTAATTGCTTTCAATAATTATTTTAAAAAGTTTTTTTCTGAATTTTTTGGCATAAATGATTAAATTTTTGTTTAAAATGTTAAAAACCTTTTTTTAGTCTTTGAGCATTAAAAATTGCTTTTGGTATAATTTGAAATAGCGGCCAAGCCCATCTCAGAAAATAGCAGAAAATTGTACGAGACTTGATTTAAAATCTTTCCGATACGTTCAACCATCCACCACTAACTGATCGCTTTAATTTTTGCTTTATTTATTAGGCTAGAAGAAACTTCTCAGCTTTGCATTTAACAAATTTGGCCACTATTTTTAAAAATAAGACGAGGCAAAATTTTAATTAATATTTTAAAAAATAAATAAAAGTATATTTAAATTATTTAGTACTTTTACAATTTCATATATTGTTTAATGTTTACATATTTTTTAAATACATAAATATACCTATTCTAAATTCCCTATTTACATTAAAACAATAACATTTATTTTTTTCTAAAAATTATTTTCTGTCACTTCAACTCTCATTTTTAATGTTAATGACTTTTTTTGATGAATTGGAGCCTGAAAACAATTAAAAGAATTTTTCTATTCAAATTTTTTATGAATGTTTGGCAGTTTGTGTAGGAGGGAAAAATATAAATAAATAATTTAAAATGAATACAAAATTATTAAATGCCCGTTAAAAAATATTTTCCATTTTTTTCAAACAGAATTTTCCAGTTTTTTAAACAAAAAAAAGTAAAATCCTCAAATCCCCCTCATTTTTTCTTTATATTTGTTTATTTAACTCTGTTTAAATATTTAATGGACAAATCTCTTCTAGACATTTATTTTGGATTATTTTTAAGTTTTCTTTTAAAAGATTTGACATACATAAAGCCCTTCTATTTATTCTTTTCTTTAAATCCTCATTAATATAATTTTTCCTGAAATAGAAAAGTCATGAAAGCGGATGTATCTTTTTTAAATTTGATTTTTAAAAGTTGGATCCAACATATTCATTTTATATTTTTCGAAATTTTTATAAATCTCGATCAGGGCTGTCCGCAATTGCGGATTGCGTAAATTACTTACGGATGCGGAAAGATCTCGATCCGTATTCTGACATCTTTTCCCATTCGTTGTCCAAATTATGCCATATCCGTCCATATTTTTGGCAACCTTAATTGTAATAGTAGACATATAAACTAATAGATTTCGATTAGTGATAAATATTCTTATTAAGTTTTTAAACGATCACCTCGTTATTCTAAATGATCATCTCGTTCTTAGACGATCACAACGTTCTTAAATTTTAATTTTGCTGTTAAATGTTTTATAATTAATTTATTTTTCAGAGAAATAATTATAATTAATTGAAATTATTTTAAATGGGCGGCTCTACAACAGTTTCTTCATCTATATCCTCATCGTTATCTACCTGTTCAAGTAAAATTTCAGATTAATTTAAATAAAATTAGGATGTTTTCTTAAATCAAAAACATTATTTTTTAAATTAAAAAATTATTCCCCCTTAGGTGGTGAAAGAAATTGTATCGAACGGTCAGCAAATTTTGAAGAAGCATTACAGCAAAAAGATGCTCGAAAACGATCACCGCGTTTCTTTTTTTGGACATTAAATTTTGGAAGGTTAAAAAGGAATATTTTGAGTAATATTAGTACAAATTAATTAATTTTTAGTGGGAACAAAAATAAAGACAAAAATAAAAGACTTAATAGTAATGAATCTACTCCTCGATCACCAGATTCTTCTCGAAGTGTAAAATTTGATGTTAGTAATTTTTAATATTTTTTATAAATAAACAACAGACTGAAACGAGACAAAATTCTTATTTTCGAAAATAAAGCTAAAGCTTAAACCAAGGATCGCGCCGACAGAAAACCAAATTCCCGATTTTTGTGAATCGTGAATTCCCGAAAATTTCGAATTCACAATTTGATCGTGAATTCACGAGCCAAAAATCGTCGGGAATTTTCGATTTTCGGGAATCATGAATAGGGTCGGCGCGATCCCTGGCTTAAACTTACAATTTATAGAGGTATTAAATATTATTAATCAAATTAAGGCTGCTGAATCATGGCCATGGATTGATGACGATAATTCGGTTATTATTGAAAAATTAGTAGAAGGGGCAATATTGGGATAATGAAATTTAAGAATTTGATGACTGAATTAAAAATACAAATATTAATAAATAATAAAAAGAAATTTAAAATTATAAAAAGAAATGTACATATTATAATTAATAATAAAAAATATTTGGAAATACGCTAAAATTATTTTGAAATTAAAAAATTTTTTTGAAAAATTTATAAATTTTTGTATCTGAAACTCCTAGCAGTTATGGATTTGGATCCTGGAAAAACTACAAATATATGATCCAATATAACTATGTTTGAGTCATTATTTTCGGGCCTGAGTCTTTTTCGGGCTTCATTTTTATCGAGACAGGCATCGAGTCTTTTTCGGGCCAAAATTCGATGCCCGACTCGATCTTTCTGACCGGACCAGGCCGGCAACCCTAAATATCACATTCGAAGATTTCTGAATACCCGACTTTTTAGGTTCTCACTTTCTAGGTTTTTATTAAAGTTCTTATTTTCCATTCGGCTAGGATTTATTACTAGGTAAAAAAATTTTATTAATTAAAAATGCGATTGTTTAAAAAAGTGTATTAGAATTTTAAAAAATAATTTTCTAAATAAAAGTATTCTTAATTGCCAACATTGAAAATTCTAAAATAAGTAAATAAAAAGTTTCTTTTTTTAAATAAAAAGTAGTTTGTGATTATTTAAAAAAATTTTAAAAGAAAAAAAAGTTTCATTTCCTTTAAAATTTAAATTTAAATATTTTCTCAGCTGTTTTTCTCCTTAAAAATAAAACTTTTAAAAAATTTAAATATTTTCATAGACAGTTGTTACAATAATTTAAACAATTTTTATCTAAATTTAGAAAATAAAAATTTTAAAGGAATATTTTTTAAAAAGTACTTTGAATTAATACAGGTGTGAATATATTTTTAAGAATTTTTTAAAAATAAGTGCAATTTAAAATCCCTATTTAAGCGGATATCTTCAAAACATTTTTAAAACAAAATTCATTAAATCATTAAAAACTAATTAATATATTAAATATTTAATAAATATGTATTCAATAATTATTTTATTAATATTTTTTACAAGTTAGTTAATTTATTTTTTAATTAAAAATAAAAAATAATAATTAATTGGTAACACAAAAAGTGCATTTAGAGATACTTAAATTGGATAAGATTCAATAAATCATAATATTTTAAATACTTTAGGAAATGTGAGATACGACTTATTTAGAAAAAACGGAGAGAAAACTGGGTATATGCTAACACATTTTTCTAATTACGGTTGTTCACAGGAAAATCAAATCTTAATCCCCCATATCTCCCATATTCCTCATAATTAATAATCGTTATCTTGTTTAATAAACTATAAAAAAATAATTTTTAATTATAAAATAATGGGCTAAATTATCATCATAAATAATTAAATAACCTTCCAAAAATTAAGGGCAATCCATTTGTTCAAACTTTTAATAATTTAATGCCACACAAGAATATCATTTAGAGAATTAAAGGACATTAAGTTAAAACTGTCTGTTATTTAAACAATCCAGGAGGTCCTTGGATGATATATAAGCAAACTCAATTAATTAATTTTTCATAAAATTTGAAGACTTTATTAATTAACTGAAAAGTATGGCAATATTTTTAATAAATTCTATTGCCATATTAGCAATGATTGTTGTTAAATTCAGAGGTTATACATATAAATTAATATTACTAAGAATATTTTATAAAATATATATCTGCAATTTAGACGCTATGGCTCTCGATCAAGCTGGTCGTGATGCGGTAGTTTATTGGCACAATTATTTCCGTGCTGAACTAGTTGCAGGAAGGGTTAAAAATAAAACTGGAGAGTTTTTGCCAAAAGCAAAGGATATGATGCAAATGTACTTTTCTGCTGAACTTGAAAAGCAGGCACAGGAATGGGCCGATAAATGCACTTATAGTCATTCTGATCCATATGGAAATTACGGAGAGAATTTCTATGCTTATGCAAGAAAGGACAATGATTGTATTTAATTATTTAATTAAGTCTTATTTCTCTAAATTAAAGCTGCTGCCATCGAGTATGTAGTAAAAGGATGGTGGTCAGAGTTGGAATACAGAGGAGCTTTGGGACCTTATCCTGGCCAAGACTGCGTTGCATTTGATGCACCTCAAAATAATAGAGGTATTGGACATTGGACACAACTTGCTTGGTATAACACTAATCAAGTTGGGTGTGGAATTGGACGTTGCCCCAAATATAAATCTTATGTTGTTTGCCAATACAAGCCACCGTAATAAATATTTAATTTTATAGTTACAATTAATTATTTTTAGTGGAAATGTTTATACAGGATGTGTTTATCATGCTGGTGAGCCTTGTACGAGTTGCCCGAACTCATGCAACGAAACATCCAAACTCTGTCTTGATCCAAAGTATGTATCAACAACTATTGGTACAACAAAAACTTTGTTGGACACTTCGAAAGCTCCTAATACTCCAACAACAAAAATTAGTCAACCAACTACAGGTACAACAAAAACTTTGTTAAACACATCAAAAGCTCCTAATACTCCCACAACAAAAATTAGTGAACTTTTAACAACATCGCATAAAGCAACTATAACAGTTGAAACTAAAACAGATACTCCAAAGTCTGATGATTGTTGCTGTTCTAGTAGTTCTGATGAGGACGATTAAGAATAAGAAATAATAATAAAGGATAACATTCAAATAATATGTATTTAATTCAGGGCTCGGATCGACAAAATGCCAATAAAAAGTACAAAAATCTTGATTTTAAAGTACATAGGGGCAAAATTTCCACATTTAAAGTACACTCAAAATTAAATTAGAAAATATTTATTCGTGCTCAAAACTTTTATATTTCTCTCTTAAATTAATCTTTTCTAATAATTTCTTGTTTCAACTTAGCATTTTGTGAATTTCAATGCACTTTTTTGTGGAGCCGAAGGCGCCAAAAAATCTATTTTTTGCGCCGCAGGCGAAAATTTTGAAAAATTTGGGGGTCCTTAAGCCAGATTTCTTCCATTTTTTTGCGCCGCAGGCAAAAATTTTGAGAAATTTGGGGGTCCTTAAGCCAGATTTCTTCCATTTTTTGCGCCGCAGGCAAAAATTTTGAGAAATTTGGGGGTCCTTAAGCCAGATTTCTTCCATTTTTTTCAAAATGTTGATTTTAAAGTACATACTTTCAATAAAGTACAAATTCAATTTCGTAAGTACGGAGGTCGATTTTAAAGTACTGTACTTTCAAATAAAGTACGAATCCGAGCCCTGATTTAATTAAATGTTTGTGTAAAATTGTAGTGGAATTAAATTAATATGCTATGAATAATAACAGACTCATTACAAATTTAGGTGCCTGTTTGACTAGTATTTTGTTCATTGAAATGAATGAACAAACTACAATAACTTGGAAATAATAATAAATTACCTTCCATATTCAAAAAATACACTTTTATTCAGTACAATACTGAATTAGATTTGATAGGATTTGTTGATGTTTCTCCTATGGACAGAATCTTCAAGAACAATTATTATTAATCTACAAAAAATGATTAAACAATTCAATGATACTATTAGTTCAGTGTGCCCCGAAGCACTGTTATCGGTCCTTTGTTGTTTACAATTTACTTAACGATAAAACAAAGTAAAAACTTTGTTTCCATCTTCGTGGACAATATTAAACTCACATTTAGTTCTGAAAAAAATTTAGATGTCTTGTATTACAAAATAATATTAATAATTTGCTTCTATCTAAGGATTAAATATTTTTTAGATGCATATACATATTGGTAATAAAACTCAAAGTTTTTAAATTTCGACGAGCATATTTAATTCTTCAAATTCACGTTGGAATATTATGATAGAAGATTATATCGGCTAAATTTGGAGCCATTATATTTAACAATATTCAAAATTGATAAAATCACTGTTGTGTCCGCACTTGCAGAAAGAACATAAATGAAAATAAATAACCCAGCAATGGGTTGGATGGTGGCACAGTCGGTTGTGCTTCGGTCTGGGCTCATTCCATGATGGTTCAATTCCATCTCCCATCCACAATTTTTCCACAGCATGAACATCGGACACTTCAATGGCGCAGTCGCACAGGCCGGGCATAGCCCGAGGAAATTTAAGCGAACCTTCAAATGCTGTGATGATCTGACATTCTGTCACTGTGGAGAGAAAAAGGAGAAGACCCTGTGAGAAATTAAATGCCTGAGTTGTGATAGGCTAGCCGGTGTTGCGAGGCTAATATAATATAAAAATGCGTAAGGCGCATGAAGCGCAGCATATGCCACAAAATGGGTTTCTGTGTGTGCTCTCCAAAATCAAAACAGATGATAGTTATAGAAGACAAGCAACAAGCGAGGACGCTTGGCAACAAGCGAGGACGATTTGGCACTTGCAGAAAGAATATAAATGAAAATAAATAACCCAGCATAGGGTTGGATGGTGGCACAGTCGGTTGTGCTTTCGGTTTGGGCCCTTTCCGTGATGGTTCAATTCCATCTCCCATCCAAACAATTTTTCCACAGCATGAACATCGGACATGACAATCACGATTTTAGACACTCGAATATCAGCCTTTAGAACTATTTAACTTCAATCAAAGACAGAGTGGCAATTTATATTAATTTCACAAATACAACTATTAAAACATAAAATTCATTAACAAACTATCGAACTTTGGAATTCTTCAGCTAAAGAAGTTTTTATCAAATGAAAATAATTTTATTCAAAAAAAATTTATTAATTATAATAATTTATATTTATTAAAGGAGGAGCATTTTAAGAAATATTTTAAAAGGAGAATTTTAATGAATAGAAATGTGTTAATGATCGGGAAGAAGCAATGTATTTTATATTAGCAAAAGCGTGATGAAATAAATTTTAGGAATTAGCAAATGATTAACAATTTAAAGAGTAATTTAAAAATATTTAGAAGGTTAGCATTTTAAAATGTAGAAGAATTTAAAAATATAAAATATATGTTGGAATTATCAATTAAAAATGAACAATTTATTTTAAAATTTAAAATTAAAAGGATAATTTCGGCGGTTGCCAAAAGTTATATACAATAGACCCTTACAAACTTTGGTTAAATAATAAAGATGTATTTATAAATTAAACACATGTTTTATACATATTTATATATATTTTTTAAACATTTTTTAAATAAAATTATTTCTAATTGCCAACATTAATATTGCTAAAGTAAATACTTCAATTCTTTTAATTTGACAATAAATAAAATACATAAATAGTTTGTGATTATTTTTAAAAATTTAATAAATAAAAAAAAGTTTCATTTCCTTTAAAATTTAAATCTAAATATTTTCTCAACTGCTTTTCTCCTTAAAAATAAAACTTTTTTTTAAAAATTTAAATATTTTTATAGACAGTTGTTACAATAATTTAAACAATTTTTATCTAAATTTAGAAAATAAAAATTTTAAAGGAATATTTTTTAGAAAGTACTTTGAAGTAATACAGGTGTGAATATATTTTTAAGAATTTTTTAAAAATAAGTGCAATTTAAAATCCCTATTTAAGCGGATATCTTCAAAACATTTTTAAAACAAAATTCATTAAATCATTAAAAACTAATTAATATATTAAATATTTAATAAATATGTATTCAATAATTATTTTATTAATATTTTTTACAAGTTAGTTAATTTATTTTTTAATTAAAAATAAAAAATAATAATTAATTGGTAACACAAAAAGTGCATTTAGAGATACTTAAATTGGATATGATTCAATAAATCATAGTATTTTAAATATTTTTAAGGAATGGGAGATACGACTTAATTAGCAGAGATGGGTCGGAATTCCGATTTCCGACGTTTTTCTCATTCCGATTTCCAAAAAAATCTTGATTTCCGAGTTCCGACTTTTGAGCCATTTCCGATTTCCGACAGTGCCATTTCCTGATTTCTATTTCCGTTTTCGACCCCACCTCCGATTTCCGACCAACCTCATATATAATCACCGTTATCTTGTTTGATTAATCTAAAAAATAATTTTTAAATATAAAATAAAGGTAAAATGTTATTAAAAAGTATTAAATGAATACTTCTATAATTTATATATCAATAAGCTTCCGAGAATTAAAGGGCAATCCATTTGTGCAAACTTTAAATATTTTAATGCCACCCAAGGATATCATTTAGAGAATTAAAGTGCATTAAGTTAAAAATGTCTGATATTTAAACAATCCGGAGGTCCTTCAAGTAAATGGATAATATTTAAGCAAACTTAATTAATTAATTATCCATTAAATTTGAAAACTTTATCAATTAACTGAAAAGTATGGCAATATTTTTAATAAATTCTATTGCCATATTGGCAATGATTGTTGTTAAATTCCCAGGTTATACATACATATACATTATTATTATTAAGTATCTTTTATAAAATATATCTGTAATTTAGACGCTATGGCTCTCGATCAAGCTGGACGTGACGCAGTAGTTTATTGGCATAATTATTTCCGTGCTGAACTAGTTGCAGGAAGGGTTAAAAATAAAACGGGAGAGCTTTTGCCAAAAGCAAAGGATATGAAGCAAATGTATTTCTCTCTTGAGCTTGAAAAGCAGGCACAGGAATGGGCTGATAAATGCACTTATAGTCATTCTGATCCATATGGAAATTATGGAGAGAATTTCTATGCTTATTCAAAAGAAGACAATGATGGTATTTAATTATTTAAATAAATCTTATTTCTCTAAATTAAAGCTGCTGCCATCGAGTATGTAGTAAAAGGATGGTGGTCAGAGTTGGAATACAGAGGAGCTTTGGGACCATATCCTGGCCAAGACTGCGTTGCATTTGATGCAGCTCAAAATAATAGAGGTATTGGACATTGGACACAACTTGCTTGGTGGGAGACTAATCAAGTTGGGTGTGGAATTGGACGTTGCCCCAAATATAAATCTTATGTTGTTTGCCAATACAAGCCACCGTAATAATTATTTACTTAATTTTCTATAACTATTTTTAGTGGAAATGTTTATACTGCATGTGTTTATCATGCTGGTGAGCCTTGTACAAGTTGCCCGAACTCATGCAACGAAACATCCAAACTCTGTCTTGATCCTAAATACGTATCAACAACTACTGGTACAACAAAAACTTTGCTGGACACTTCAAAAGCTCCTAATACTCCCACAACAAAAATTAGTAAACCAACTACTGGTACAACAAAAACTTTGTTAAACACATCAAAAGCTCCTAATACTCCCACAACAAAAATTAGTAAACCAACTACAGGTACAACAAAAACTTTGTTAAACACATCAAAAGCTCCTAATACTCCCACAACAAAAATTAGTAAACCAACTACAGGTACAACAAAAACTTTGTTAAACACATCAAAAGCTCCTAATACTCCCACAACAAAAATTAGTAAACCAACTACAGGTACAACAAAAACTTTGTTAAACACATCAAAAGCTCCTAATACTCCCACAACAAAAATTAGTAAACCAACTACAGGTACAACAAAAACTTTGTTAAACACATCAAAAGCTCCTAATACTCCCACAACAAAAATTAGTAAACCAACTACAGGTACAACAAAAACTTTGTTAAACACATCAAAAGCTCCTAATACTCCCACAACAAAAATTAGTAAACCAACTACAGGCACAACAAAAACTTTGTTGAACACATCAAAAGCTCCTAATATTCCAAAAACAAAAATTATTAAGCTGTTGAAAAAAATTATTAAGCTGTTGAACAACAATTGGAACTAGAACAGATATTCCAAAATCTGATGAATGTAACGAATCTAGAGTTTCTGATGAGTGCGATTAAGAATAAAAAATATTAATACAGGATAACATACAAATAATATTTAATTAAATGTTTTTGTGTAAAATTGTAGTGGAATTAAATTAATATGTATGTCTATGAATACTAAGAAACTCATGACAGATTTAGGTGCCTTTTTAACCATTTTGCGTACATATTTGGCTACAGAAACTTGGGAAATGATTCGCAAGAAAACCATACATATTCAAAAATTTATTCAGTACAATTACTGAATTAGATTTGATAGGATTTGTAGATGCATCTCCTTCTGAACATTTATTATTAATCATTGTTCTATTAGTTCAGTGTGCCACGAAGCACTGTTATAGGTCCTTTATTGTTTACGATTTATTTGACAATAAAACTAAGTAGACTGTTTCCATTAAATTTCGATGAGCATATTAATCTTCAAGAATTTTTACACCGGGATATTATGATAGAAGATTATATCTGGTCAATTTGTAGTTATTATATTTAAGAATTTCAAAAGTGATTTAATTACCCTATTATAATAGTTTTTAGATACTCGATATTTTAGACGAAACAATTTTGACTACTTGTATTTTATTTCTCTTTTCTTCTGTTCTCTAGCTTTCTCTCTTCATTTTTGCACTCTTTTATTCCGATCCCGAGTGATCGAGGTGAAATCCCAAATCTCCGTTTTCTCTATCAGATTCTAATTTTTATAACATTTTCATAGATAAGTTAGGTCATTAAACTTGCACAAACTGTGAGAATTTTTATTTTTTCTGGAGATTTCCTATTTCAGGAACTTTTACATAAACACAACACTTTTAGACACCTTTAGTATTTGCCTTCAATCAAAGATAGCACAATCATGTTGTTGACGAAATTGAAGATTTAAAGATTAAAAATATTTTTTAATATTTTTATATTTTTTGTGGAATTTTGTTTATTATTTTTGGGGGTGACTCAGTAAGTCGCCTTCCATTTTTTAAAATTTTTTGTACATTTTTTATAATGTACTTTCTATAGCATCATTTTTATTTTAGATACCCATTTTTGCCGATAAAAGATAGGCAGAAATACCACTTTTTCAATGTTCATGTTTCTTTGTGATCATTCATTTCTTTATATGTAAATATCTGTGTGATATTTAGAGATAAAGATTTAAGTTGTGTTATTGTGTTTATTTGTTTATCTAGGTTAATTATTCTGTAGGAATAATTATTCTGAGATATTTTAATTCTCTATTAAAGAATAGGAAGGTGAAATAGTTTTCCTAATAAAGAGGAAAGTATTTTACAAATCATACATATTATTAATTTCACAAATATTCTAATATTTCAAAAGAAGTGTATTATAATTTTTAAAATAATTTTCTAATTTTTATAATAATTTTTTTGCCACATTGATACTTCTAAAATAAGTAAATAAAAAGTTTCTTTTTTAATATAAAAAGTAGTTTGTGATTATTAAAAATTTTTTAAAAATTTTAAAATAAAATTTTTTCTCATTTCCTTTAAAATTTAAATATTATTTTCTCAACTGTTTTTCTCCTTAAATGTAAAACTTTTTTTAAAAATTTAAAATTTTCATAGACAGTTGTTACAATAATTTAAACAATTTTTATCTAAATTTAGAATATAAAAATTTAAATTTAAAGGAAAGTTTTAAAAAAGTACTTTGAATTAATACAGGTGAGAATATATCTTTAAGAATTTTTTAAAAATAAGTGCAATTTGAAATCCCTATTTAAGCGGATATCTAGAAAAAAATTTTTAAAAACAAAATTAAATCATTAGAAACTAATTATATTTTTAAATATTATAAAAATGTATTCAATAATTATTTTATTTATATTTATTACAACTTAGTTAATTTATTTTTTAATTTAAAACATTAGAAAATTTGAAATTGATTTAGTAAATCAGAAAATTATTGTTAAATAATTTCATCAAAATTAATATAAGGCATCTATATATTTCGTTCCTGTTTAGATAATACCGAAGTAAAAACAATGAATCGGTAGTTTAGAGACTCAATCTAACCGGTAAATGGGATTGAGTCTCTTTAGGTATAAGGATGTGCTCCCGCCTTCCACAGAATTCAAATTTTTTACCCTTTCGCTTCTGCATTCTACTTCTATTTTGGTTGCTTCTTCGGATTTAGAACCATTAGGACGGCGATTATTTTCAAGAAATATATTTTGGCATTGCAAAAAATTTTCACTCAGGGCTCAAAAATAAGTCAGGCTCAAAAATTCAAAAAACGATTATGGCTTCAATGAAAGCTAAAAATTTTTGCCTGTGACGTGGAAAGTAGGGATTATCACTCGATAAATATTTTGGAGTTTTATCACTCCAAAATATCGGATCCTGATACAGCAGCTATCATAGCATTCGGCAACATTGAACTACAGATTGTTTGTGAACGTAAGCTATTGAAAATTGCCCTTGTCCCTCTTAATATACGGCTGTGCATCTTAATCCCCGATATCTCCCATAATCTATCCTCATAATTGATGATAGTTAACTTGTAAAATAAAAACTAATAAAAATAATTTTTAATTATAAAATAATGGCTAGCATTTTGTCCATAAAAATAATATTTTTCTAATTAATATATAAATGGGCTTTTGAAAATTAAAGGACAATCCATTTGTGCAAACTTTTAATAATTTAATGCCACACAAGAATATTATTTAGTGAATTAAAGTGCATTAAGTTAAAACTGTCTGTTATTTAATCAATCCAGGAGGTCCTTCAAGTAAAGGGATAATATATAAGCGAACTTAATTAATTAATTATCCATTAAATTTGAAAACTTTATCAATTAACTGAGAAGTATGGCAATATTTTTAATAAATTCTATTGCCTTATTGGCAATGATTGTTGTTAAATTCCGAGGTTATACATATAAATTAATATTATCAAATATCTTTTATGTATAAAATTATGTATATCTGTAATTTAGACGCTATGGCTCTTGATCAAGCTGGACGTGACGCAGTAGTGTATTGGCACAATTATTTCCGTGCTGAACTAGTTGCAGGAAGGGTTAAAAATAAAACGGGAGAGCTTTTGCCAAAAGCAAAGGATATGAAGCAAATGTATTTCTCTCTTGAGCTTGAAAAGCAGGCACAGGAATGGGCTGATAAATGCACTTATAGTCATTCTGATCCATATGGAAATTATGGAGAGAATTTCTATGCTTATTCAAAAGAAGACAATGATGGTATTTAATTATTTAAATAAATCTTATTTCTCTAAATTAAAGCTGCTGCCATCGAGTATGTAGTAAAAGGATGGTGGTCAGAGTTGGAATACAGAGGAGCTTTGGGACCATATCCTGGCCAAGACTGCGTTGCATTTGATGCAGCTCAAAATAATAGAGGTATTGGACATTGGACACAACTTGCTTGGTTTAACACTTATCAAGTCGGGTGTGGAATTGGACGTTGCCCCAAATATAAATCTTATGTTGTTTGCCAATACAAGCCACCGTAATAAATATTTAATTTTATAGTTACAATTATTTATTTTTAGTGGAAATGTTTATACAGGATGTGTTTATCATGCTGGTGAGCCTTGTACAAGTTGCCCAAACTCATGCAACGCAACATCCAAACTCTGTCTTGATCCGAAATACGTATCAACAACTACTGGTACTACAAAAATTAGTGAGGATTATGACGAAGAAGATTAAAAATAATTAAGATAATAAAAGAGAATTCAAATAAATTAATTAAATATTTTGATGTAAAATTGTAATGGAGTTAAAGTAGTAAATCTATAAACTGAAAAGTAGTAAATATACCCCAAAATCCTAAATCTTTTACTAAATCCTAAATCTTTTATAAGCATTAATCTTTTATAATCAATCATTAATCCTTTAATCTTAGGTATACATGGAGCCCTCGTTTATATAATACCACACTTATATAATATTAATAATACCACCCCAATAATTTACTCTGATTTTCTATACAATTTTTTCAGCCACTACGGTTTACATGTAAGTATATTTGTGAAGAACTTGCATTGCACTTTACTTTTTAAATTAAGAAATAATTTATTAATTTTAAATAAATTTCACAATTTTATTTTCCTTTTTATGAAGAGGGCATGCAATAAAAAAATTTATTCTTTAATTTTTTAAATTTTAAAAAGTGCATCTTGATTAAATAACCTAATAGGTGTTTTTAAATTAAATTAGCGTATATTTTAGAAAAAATAAATTTAATTTTGGATTATTTTGTTATTTTATAGATGTTATTTATTAAATTACATTTAATTATTTATTTTTTAAATTTCCTTATAATAAATTTATCGACTTCAAGCGATGAATGGGATCAATCTTATGATACAAATGAATCCCATAAATTCTCAGAATCTTCTTTTACCAAAAATAAGAGATGTAAGCATTTTATTATATGAGAATAAAAATGTAAGGATGATTCACCTAGAGCATTTAAAACGATTAGGCGGGAGATAAACGATCTAAAAAGGAAAAAGAGAAAGCATTAGTTTATGCCCCGGTATCTCAGTGTAGAGCTCCTGTATATGGTGAGAGAAAGCGCCTAGCAATGACTATGAGGAGGTTGCAGGTTCGAATCCTGCCCGGTGGCTAGAATTTTGCAAACTCTTTCAAAAATTATCTATCTTTAACTTTAAATTTTAAATGAATCTTACATATCTCTTTTACTAAAGTAAAACTAATAAACAATTAAATACATACATACATATAGTAGCTTGTAAACCATCTAAACAAACATTGTGTTATGATGCTTCCACTTCATCTATTTCTCCAATCGAACAATCAGATAATTTAGCTTTTCCTTCAATAACAAATTTAGAATCTACTATTTCAAAAAATACTTGGAAGGTAATTTCTTTATTTATCTAATTATCATTAATTTCTTTAATTATTAAAGGTTAAAAGAAAACGTGGAGATAGATATCAAAATATGTCAAGAAACTCTGCCGGAAGAAAATGGAAAAATATCATTTTAAAAACTAAAAGGTCTAAAATAATATCAAGTTTATTATTTTCTAAACTATTTTTAAGCTCATCTACAAATTCTGAAGTAAATAGTTGTTCATCAAATGCTAATTTGGATAGTGATAAATGTATTTAGATTTTAAAAATATAATAATCACAAGATTAGAAAAAAGCGCAGTTTCTAAGTTGCATGGTTTAGTTGCCGTAATCAAAGCAAAACTCTAACAAAAGAGAGTGCCTGATGTGTCCGTCGAGTGCCTATGGTGTCCCAAAGTTTTAGGATCCACTTTGGGGTCTTATAACTTGGTACCTTGTACCCCGCAGTGAAAATGGTGTAAATTTCGCAAAAGTCTCCTTTGTAAGCGTACTAAGCACCAATTAAAAATTTATTTTTAATTTCTGTTTATTAATTAAGCTTACGAGCCTAGTGAAGATGAAGATAGTAATGATAATTGTATTTCTTCAAATAAATCAAAAATAAATTTTGGAAAGAAAGTTAATAATACTCAAAAATTAAAGAAAAATGATAACAAAAAATCGTAAATAGATATAATTTTTTAATATAAAAATATTTTTTAAATTATTAGTTTAAGAAATAGAAAACTTGAGGAAATTTATGAAAGTCAAAATATTCTTTTTTGTGGAGAGAAACCTTTAAAACGAAATTATCTTTTAAATGGGGATTCGGAAATTGAAATAATTAATTATTTTCGAGAGGAAAATTTGGAATTTGATAGGGAAATAAATAATTATATGAAATGTGATCCTGTTGAAAGGAAGAAGATTGGACTATCGGTAATTATAAAATTTTGTTATGCTTAAATTTTGTATTATAATTTTAAATACTTAATAAAATTTTTTGTCGTTATATTGAGAATAGTGAAAAAAATCCCTAACAGGGCGGCCTCTTCCAAATATCCAAGTGAGAGTATGGCTTCTTAAAAGGGGGCAAAATAGGCCAAGAATGGGGTAAAAATACTAACAAAATTTAACGAATTGGTATCAGAAATACAGAAATCATATATCGAGTTTTCCGAATTTTTAAAAGATTATAAACGCCCACTTGATCCCTAATTGTTACTAGAAGACTTTGCCAGTTAAATAACTACTAATTTTAGGAGCCATTAATTAATGGATTATGTATTTTGTATTTATATGGTGAAATAACTCCTCGTAATTTAATTTCGTATATGGGAATGAATTATCATAATTTGATGACAAAATTGCATGGAAGAAAGATTCGTTTGTTTCCTCCAGAAACTTGTGAAGACAGTTTATCAAGAAAACAGTTTGTTTCCTTTGAAATTAATGATTGTTCAAAATTTTAATAAAAATTAATTTTAGAATTTCTACAGAAAATATTTTTATAATTTATTTTTAGCGTAAAATATAATCCAAAAATTATTAGCAAAATTAAATTAAAATTAAAAGAAAAATCAAAAGAAAAATGTGGAGGTAAATGGGAATTGAATGGAATTATTCATCTTCAGCCATTAGAAGCAAAAAAATTTTATTTTAAATTATTAAATATGGCAAGAGATGTTAATAATAAATTAATTTCAAAAAATAAAGAATATTATGAAATCATTAATGAAAATAATATTTTTAAAGATTTAAATAAAATAAATGGAAATAAACAAAATATTGAAATATTTTTAAAGAAATTTAAAGCAATTCTTTTTGATTTTCGTTTGGAACTTGTTTGGAGTTTTAGAGGTATGTCTAATATATCCGGGTCTTTCCTAGGTTTAGATGTATGTATATGGAAACTCCGAGGTGTGCGTCGTCGAGCGCAAGAAGTATCTCAGGTAGAGTTTTACTATCTAGACGTAGGTGGAATTAGGACTGGATCTGACGGACAAAGGAGATCAAGAACTAGTGAGCGGGTCGATTCGACTTTATATCATGGTAACACCTTTTGATCTCGATTCTTTGTCACGGCACTTATAATTTTTATCAAATACTTTATTTTATTAAAATGAATATTCTCGTTTCCAAAATAAAATATATTAAGATGGATCTTCTATTTTTGTTCGCAACCCTTTAGAATCTGCTGATATAATTTGTAAAGTTTTATTGTTCCATGCATTCCTTGAATTATTTAAATCAATGCATGCTAATAAAAATTTATTTTTTTCTATAAATATACAAAATATTGAATTCTATAAAAATTTGAATAATTTCTTTGAAAAATGTAATAAAATACCAGAAAAATGTTATTCTTTAACATTAAATAAATTATTTGAAGAAAAAACAAAGGAAATGGTTAAAAGAAAAATTTTTGAATTTTTAAATAATTATATTTATGGAAAGTTGGAAATATATATTGAACGTTTGTCTAAAAGAAAGATTGATTGAAGGAATTTAAAAAATATTTGTTATGAGAATTAATGGATTAATTAATTAAAATTAATTATAACTAAAACAATTTTAGTAATTTTAGTGAAATTTTTTTATTAAATTTATAATCCTTCCCTCAACTAGGCTTTGTGGATCCAAATACCCTATATCTTGAAATTTTCGGATCCGGATATCCGGAAATTTTTCAGTACTTCATAACCACATAATGTTTATCAACATTTTTCAAAACTTTATTTTCTGCTTTTTTCCATTTTCTGTTATTTATTCGACAAACTTCAATTAAACCCTTGTTCTATATTTTACCCTAATCTTATTAATTAATCATTTATTTTCTTTAGATTTAAATTAAAATTTTAGACTAAATCTATTTATTGTTCTATTAATGAATTTATTTAAATAATTTTTGTTTAAATTATAAATTTTTAAAACAAAAATCTTAGAATTTTATTTTATCGTTTAAAATTAAAAAATTAATATTTTTATCTTAAGAAATATTTTCTTAAATTAATTAAATAATTAATTACTATATAATAATTTCACATAAATTAAATTTAAATTAATTTCCTTTTTTGATCTATTTTGACCTGTAATTATTAAAACATGTGAGAAGTTTAAATTTATTATTAAATTAAAACTTGTTTTAAATTATATAATTTAACTAGTAATTAATCATTTAATTTAAATTTGAATTTTAAACAACCCGAATTTACTATATAAATAAATTAACATTTTAATACATATTTTAATTTAAAAATTTATTCTGAGAAATGTTTAATTTGAAAAACTTATTTTTCCTTCTTTGTCTTATTTTAATTTTTAATTTTAATTTAATTTTGGGAAAGCAGGGACAACGTATGTATTTTTAAATTAAAATTTAATTTTATTAAATTGGAAAAAATTTTTTTAGAATAATTTGAAATTAAAATTATAATAAATAAATGTTCTAGTCTCGATAAGATATTTTTAAATATCTTAAAATTAATTTAATTTTAAATTTCAAGCATGCCGTGTTAAAAGTGATTGTCACGATGAAAGAGAAGTTTGTGGAATTGGAACAAATATTTGTATTCCTAGACTTGGGGGTTAACTTGAAGAAAAATTTAATAAAGGATTAAAGATATACATTTATTTCTCAAATTTTAACCAAATTTTGTATAATATTTATATTTTTATGATTAAAAAATTTTAAATTTTTTAATAAAAAATAAATTACTTTGGATCTACATATTTACTTAAAACTAAAAAAATAAAAAGAATCGAGTTAATGTCAGGAATAGGGTTGTTTAATCGGTTATTATTAATGGGTTAATAAGTTATTAACCCCAGGCATTCGGTTAACCGACAGTGAAGAACACTAGTTAAATATTTACTCGATTAATTCCCCTCCCTCTATTAATTCCCCATGCCAGGGATGAGTTGAAACAATAATCTCCCTCCCCCAAATACCCTACTACAAATTCAAATTTCAAAACTCAAATAATTCTTCTCCCTTGAATAATTCCCCATGTATTGAAGAAATAATTCCCCAGGGGAATTAATCGAGTAAATACGATAGGTATTTAAATACATTCCTGTTACATGCATATTTAATTGCATCTAGAATTTTATCTTTAATTTTGTAAAAATTAGTTACAAATTAAAAAACATCTAAAAAATCTCTTAAAACTATCAAAACCATCTTTAATTATTTTGATAGTATACTCAAAGAATAAATTTAATATTACAAGAATTTTGTAAATAATTTTTTTATAAAACTCACAAGTTTTGCGGGACACTTTAAGAGAGTTTTACAAGTTTTTTTGTAAATAACTGAATGGTTGGAATTCCAAATTTTCTAAATTTAGAATTAGAAGAAATTTTCCTTCCTTTAGATTATCATTTTAAAGAAATTTTTGTTTTTTGGAATAAAATAAATTATGTATTTAGTATGTATTAAATACATATTTAGTAGTTAAACTACATAGTATGTATGTACAATAAAAACTGTGACTATATACAAACATACGAGTGTGAGAACCTGTACTAACTACATATGTACATATGTAGTGATGTTTAAATAATAAATTGATTATATTTCCTATTTTGCGAATAAAAATATAATTTAGATATTTATAGAAAAATTGATGGGTTTTTTGTTCTTTTGTCTAAGCTCATTCTCGAATTTTTAAAAATTAAATACTAATCATTCTTAATTATGTATTTCCTTGTCTACTTCAATAATTATAATTTATTTTAAATAATTTTTTACTTCAATTCACAATTACTTAAATTAACTAGAAACAATTATTTTAAGTAAAATTCCCATCAATTTATTAAAGAAAAATGCGTCGATTTTTGACGAAATTGTTCATCCATTAATTCCAAAGTACTGAATAAATACCTAAATTTTAAATATTTTCTTTTTTTATTCGAATGTTGTTTTCTTCAAAAAATAAAATATATTCAATTAATTCCTCAAACCATCATTTGCCTCAGTCATCTTTATTATTAATTCATGATGCTAAAATTAAAAGGATTAGTTTAAGTTTTTGGGAAGCAACATTTGCCTGTTTAAATATAATAATGGTGGGTAAATTTGCTAAATAAAGGATTTAATTATACTAGATCTTGGCTGGTTCTAAGGGTAATTCTAAAGCTGGTTCTAAGGCTGGTTTTAAGGGTAATATTTCTAAGGGTAATTCTTTGGCTGACCCCCCTCCCTTTTTTTATGCTTACCTGACCATTTTGAGCTTTTTTGCTTGACATATAATTTATATATCATTCTAAAGAGCTGTCCGAGCTGAGTATATTGATACTATGGTCGGTTAAATTTATGAAGCTAATTATCTAAATATTATCTAATATTATCTAACAAATTATGAGGCTAAATCCTCTGTGGACATGCCTTTTGTGATGTTAAAACAAATGCTCATAACTATGTTGATTTAAGTCAGATTTCGATAATTCTAGTGCCGTTCGACTCAACTCGAAGAGCTATTTCGAATGTATATAAAAAATTCATAGAAATTTCATAGAAAATGAAAAAAATAGAACATAAAAAAGGGGGGTGTCAGCCGGAGAATTTTCGAAGTATTTCCTTATCTCGTTCATTATCTCGTTACAAGAAATAACTTACCTAAATTCCCATTACTTTCAGATTTTATCAATAAAAACAAAACTTTTTATTAGTTTTACACATTTATATATATTTTTTATTAAAGTCATTGCCCTACTCCATCATTTCTTTATTTAAATTTAACAATCTATTCACAACAAAATATAATGGAAGATTTGCATTTCTCGATATTTTTCGTTTTATTGCTTTATGTTGGGTAGTTATTAACCATTTAGGAAGTGAAGGACGTCTTGATATTTTGAGAAGAGAGAAAACTGGAGATTTATTTAAACAAAATATACATGAACATCCAATATTTGGTCCATTACTTGGTCTGTTTTTGTTTGTTTAGTTTATTAATGTTGGAATATGAGTAAAGCATCTGGGCTATAGCTATTTCTCTCCTTTACCTATTGCAAAGGGTTATTCGGCGGCTGGGAGCGAACCAGCAACTTCAGTATCCATTACATACACACGCCGCCTACTGCAAAGCCTTAGGAATTAAATAGTTATATGCTTTACATATGCTATAATATGCTAATACTAGAATTTAGCCGATGAAACTATTTTTTTCCTAATTTTAGCCCTTATCTTCATAATTAATTTTCATTCATGATTTAAATATTTTTTATTTTTTAAAGGTAATTCAGCTCTTGGTGTTGAGATTTTTTTGTTCCTTTCTGGATTTCTCGCAGCCCGATCCTGGCAAAGACACAGAAGTGTTGACCGTCCATTTTGGTTAAATGCCTCTGGTTTTTTGTTTCGACGTTGGTTGAGATTGGCCCCACCAACTTTAGCTTTTATATACATTGCAGCAGGCCCTCTGGGTAAATGGGCATTGCCACAGTGGGTTTTCTTGAAAAAAAATTTTTCAAAAAAAATTTTTTTTAGATTTTATCATTCAATGGTCTCAAACTGCTCATCTAAACAATTATTTTCACATGTTCTTTTTATAAATAATTTTTCGAAAATACCAACTTGTATGGGGTGGCTTTGGTATTTAGGCCTAGATTGGCAATGTTACTTATTAACTCCGTTTTTGTTATATTTACTTGAGAAAAGGCCTCGATTTGGAATTTCTTTATTGATAATAATGATTGGAGGTTCTATTTTTATTCGTGGATGGCATTGCCAAATAAATGGAATTTGTAATAATAGCGATGTTGATATTCCGGTGAGTGAGGAATATTTTAATATTGGTGAGGAAGTGCCGATAGGTGGTGGTAATGTTGATAAATTTTGAGTAAATTTGAAGTATCAATCAGAGGTGGGTCGGAATTTCGATTTGCGAAATTTTGGAAAATTCCCGATTTCCGACATTTGAGCCAGTTCCGATTTCCGGCTCTTCCGATTTCCAACAACTCTGACTGTTCCGACCCTCCTCTGGTATCAATACTGATTCACAAAAAAATTTTAGTAATGCTTAAGGGCTACTGGCTAAAAGTTTTGACACTAAAAGATGTAGAATAGTTTATTAGATTAGGAATATTAAGTTGGATGTTCAGTCGGATAAATAAACTACCTAATTTCCCCTCACTTTTTTTCTGAATAATTAAATTTTTTCCCCATTTTTCTATTAATTTCCCTGACTATTTTAAATATTTTATTTTTTTAAAGTTTGTTTATTTTCCCAACCTTTCCAATGATATTCTTCAAACTTATTCTTCGCTTTTTTCACTTTATGCTCGTCCAACAACAAAAATCGGTCCTTTCCTTATAGGACTAATTATGGGCTATTTTACAACATTAAAAGAAACTTTTCTATTAAAACCAAAAACTTCAAAATTCCTTTTCTTTGGAGGATTTTTATTATTATTTTTGACAATTTATGGAATTTTGCCCGAATATTGGTATCCGAACCAAGGGAATACTTTATACAATATCTTATATACTGCGACGTTTCGAACGATTTTTACTCTTGGGATTGCTTTTATTGTTATTTCTGTTCTTTATGGAGAAAGATCGAGGTAGAAGAAATTATTTTAGTAGAAGCAGGGGGTATTGGGATTGCTATACCCCCTCCTTCCCCTCTAGCAATAATTAGAATTTCAAAAGGCATTATAGAAATAAATACATACCACATATACTCCGTCAAATAATTACCCCACCTCTATTAGTTACCCCCTCCAGCAAAAGGTTGAAACAATAATTGCTTCCAAAAATTAATTATAATTAGCCTTCCTAAAATAACCTCTATTAATTACCCCCCCCCCCCCTCTATCAATTACCCTATCCAGAGAGAGGTCGAAACAATAATTACCCAGGGTAGGTAATAGAATATATACGGCATTTATTTTGGTTCGATTTATAATAACAGAGCTCGAACTTTTCACCTTGCTGGCACGGTATCCGTTTTTTTCTTTCAAGTTGACCCGGCCGGATTTTCCGAGCTATAACCTCGAAAACCACGAAAACTCGAAAACCCGATCAAACTTATAACTCACACAAAAACCTGTTAAATATAGGCGATGTAATTGAACGGGATAATTTTTTACGGGGGGTTTGCTTTTATTTATCAGATTAATCATGGATTATCAAAAATTGAATTAATATTTAATTAAATTTTTTTAAATTTTCAGCCGCCCAATTTCACGTATTTGGTCTATATTTGCTCAATTAACATTTTCTGCATTTCTTGTACACATGCCTGTGGTATTTATTTTCAACTACATTTCAGCCTTCCAAAGAATTGAATCTGTTTATGGCCTTCTTTTAGCTTTTCCTTTTGCTTTGATTTTAACATTTTTTGTGGCTTTAATCTTCCATTGTTTTATTGAAAAACCTTTAGCAAAATTATTTTTAATTTAAATTTTTCATGTATTTCTCTTTTATTCTTCTCTAGATAGAAAATCTAAACTTTTATTTATACGTTATAAATATTGGAGATCGGTCTGGATTTTGTCAGTCTTGATTTTTCCTGGAGCCAGAATCCAGTCCAGGTCAATAAACTAAATCCAGAGTCCAGATCCAGACGATTTTTATGTCTGGAGGATTTAGAGGGATATCTAAGATTAAGGCGGATATCTGTAGATTTAGAAGGATATAATTAGATTTAGAAAAAAAAATCCAGAAATCAAGGCTGCATTCAGATTAAATAATCATGAATTTTTTCTGGATCTGGATTTTTCCTTGATTCAGATTAAGAATCCTGTCCAGGTTACTAACTTAAATCCCGATCCAGGATTTTTGAAAATATCGATCTCTATTAATCATTCAAAAAATTATATGTAATTTTTTGATGTAAATATATTTTAATTTTTAACAAACCTGTTTCTATTCTACAATTAATTAATAAAAAATTATTGGAGAAAAACTGTCCGTTTCCCTCCAACAAAATGTTGTAATAAAATAGGTTGTGTACTAAAAGTTAAAAATATAGGACAAATGCATGATCGATTTGGTTCTACCATTTTTTGTCATTTTATTAAAAAGCTTTAATTTTTCTAAATTTTATTTTGTATAATAAAATTAAACGAATAATTTAATTAAATTAATTTTTTTAATTAAATTTTTAAAATATAGTGTATTAAAAATTATAAAACCACCTACATAGTTTTTTTCTGATTTTTTAGTTTCAGGTTGTCCAATTAATCTGAAATTTTTATATGTATGAGATTTATATACACTATTGGATAATATATCCAAAAAATCTTTAAAAAATTTTCACTCGATCGATTTTTCGAAAATGGGTACCGTAAATTCTAAAATAATTACCCTCTCTCAAATAATTACCTCCTAGTTATTTTACTCAAACTTTAAAAATATTTAAAGAATTACTATCAAATTTAATTATTGGAGCATTTTACGACTCAATATCAAAAAATAAATCAATTTCTTCTCAATTGGATTGAGATATACCCTAAATCCAGCACATCCTCTCTAATAATTACCCCCTCCAGAGAGATATTGAAACAATAATTACCCAGGGTAATTATTTCACCAGTTACGGTACATTTAAACACGTTTTTATAATTTTTTTGATTTTTATTTAATATTTGCTCTAAAATTTGAATTTTATTTTATTAATAATAAAACTAAAAATAGAAAAAATATTAAAATAAAGTCTACCTTCTACTAAAAAAGTAAAAAGATAAGTAATTCTCTTTTTTAATCAATAATTTTTTTTAATTATTTTATTTCCGGGTTATTAAAATTTTTTTTCAAATTAAAATTTGAGAAAAAAAATATTTTTTAAAATTTTAATTTTTGCCTTTTTAAAAAATTTAAAATGGATATACAAAAGAAAAATAATAAAGAAATAATCGATGATGAGGGGGAGAATGGTGGTTGTGGGTTTTCTAATGTAGATGACAAATCTGAAGAGGAAGAAAATGATTGTGAACAATTATATTGGAAACGATTTAAAAAATGGTTTTTAAATTTTAAAAAATATTAAAAATTAAAATTTTAAAAGGATGCATTGTTTTTGTGTTGTCACGTTTGATTTGGAACTTGGACAGACAATTGAAGTTTTTATTATTTTAATTTTATAAAATTTATTTTAACAAAAAAATTTGGGAAATAATGTAAAATACTGTATAACCTTTAATAACTACCCTGGGCAATTATTGTTCCAACCTTCCACTTAAATGATTAATTAATCGAGGGAGGGTAATTATACGAGGTTTGCAATTTGAACGTATTTTAGGGCATTTGTTAGTGGGTAATTATTGTTTCAATCCATCGCCGGATGGGGTGATTAATGGAAATGGGGTAATTATTTGAGGGGAGCAATTAATCAGGTTAAACGGAACGTATTTATGTAGATTTTCCTTTTTAATTTTCTTCAATCCAGTTCGTAGATATTTCTGATATCTATTATAAATAGTTTGGAGATACCTAGATATATTAAATTAAAACCCAAAATCCTTAATAGAATGTTATTTAACTAATAATGTTCGTAATAATTTCTAAAGAATTTTTGAAAAATATTTTGGATAAAAAATATTTTTATCAGACTTGGTAATGGCCATGGATTTTGGTATCCATATCCGGATATTTACGGCGGATACAGGCTGATATCCGCAGGCATTTTGAAATTATCTGTATCCAAATCCGTATCCATTACCAAGTCTGATTTTTAAAATTTATTTTAAAATTTTAAAAAAAGGTTGTCTATCCCGGCTCCGCTTATTTATCACCCACTGAACGTTCTGACATTTGTTATTTATCATTTCCCGATTCAAATTCATCCTCAACAAATATTAATAATTCGTGTTCTTCCTCTACCCCTTCAATATTTATGAATGGAAAAATTAATAGAAAAATGTCTTCGGATGGAAGGTTTTGGAAAATAAAAATGATTAAAAAAATTATTTTATAAATATTTTGTAGTTATATAGATTCTTCACACCATTTTAGAATTAAGAGAAATGGGGAAATAAATGAGGATAATGAAAAACGGTTTTTTCAAAAAAATTAAATATGTAATTAAAAATTTATTTTTTAAAGTTTTGATTCATTTACCCAAAAACTTCCACCTTCTCTTAGGCCTGATAAACAATATCTTTATGGTTTTGCTTATTTTAGACGTCAACGAGATTCTAGTTTACATAGAGGGTATTCTCAAAAGGTTCTATTTTTGTTAAATAAAAAGTGTAAATTTTGTGGATTTTTTGATAAATTAAGATATTTGGAAAACTTAGTAATAATAAATACTTGCGACGCAAAATTATTAGAGATAGGACCAAACAAATATTTGATGTTGGAAAATCAAATATTTGATCGAATATATGTTTGATGTGTTTTGAAGAAAATCAAATATTTTCAAATATCAAATAATTTGATATCTGATTTTTCCGTTTGTCCGATCTCTAAAAATTATGCGTCTACCCCATTATTTAAGTTTTTTCAACACTATTATCAATAGCTCCATAAATACCCTTAAGACCGCTTCGGAAGATTAACGGCATGTGTCTCTATGATATTTTTCTGAAAACTAATACTATTCGGAAATATTTTTAAGAGCCATACCCAGTTTTTCTCGATTTTGGGTAAAGATACGGGCTTAGTTCGTATATTTTATAATTTAATATTTATTTTTAGAGTATTGTCCTAATCAGTCATTTACCTTTTGTTGCACTTTTTTCACGTATTTTGAGTGAAGTTGCTTTAGCATTTTTTACGGCAGGTGAAAGTGCCATAGAAACTGGTTAATTACTAATATATTTGGGTTTATAATCTCTTAATTTAAAGCTTGTCGTCAAATAGGCCAACATTGGCCATCACCAAAAGCTGGGGGAGATAGACTCCTTTCCTTGCCACTTTTTGGTCTTCGCTTTTGTTGCTCAATCCCCGCAGATTTACACAAAAATGAGTCTGAATTAGACCCCGGAACTAATTTTATTGAACAAAATGGGAATCAAATGCCCTTTAATTTAAAACAACAATCCTTAGAAGATGAGGATTGTAATGGATTTGAGGTAGTTAATTAAAATAGTTTTTTTGTTCCTTAGTGAAAATCCATTTATTTATTAGATTCTTCGATAAGATTAACATTTCTTATTATTAATTTCAAACGGAAAGGGATCTCTTTTATTCTAATAAGTCAGCGTTTGGTTGATAGATCTGGTTAATTAAAAAATCAAGGGGAAAGGGGATAGTGCATATATTAGATTAATAAAAGAATTATTTTATTTGGATAATTTATGAGTAATATTAAGGTTGTTCCCCGTCCCCGAAAGTCGGGGAATTTGAGAGATTTTTTGAAAATTCCCCGTTCCCGTCCCCATCCTCCCCCCCCCCCCGTGGTGCTGCCTCCCCGAAAACTGTTCCCTTTGGCCCCCCTACTCGTCTGGGAACCCTAATAATTATTTTGTTTTAACATACTTTTAATTTTTGATATTTATTTAATAAACATATTTTATATAGTTCATTGATATTCGCTGCAATGTTGTTCTTTTAGACTCCATATCAGAACCAGACCAACATTTTCATATGTACCTATTTAGTTTAATTTAAACTTAACAAATTTTAATTACATTTTTAGTGGAATAAAAAGACTCCTTCCACATTTACATCTTTTATGGGAATTAATATTACTTGGAGAGGTTTTTCTTAAATTAAAATTATTTTTAAATTCAATTTTTAAGCCCTTACTTGTTTGTGCCCCAAATGCCTCATTATGTTCTTCAATCGTTTATTCATTAATTTCTTTAATTTCTCCATTGAGATATGAACCTGATTATAGGCCATATTTTACAATCCATGATTCTGATTTTAATGAAGTTTTAAATTCAAAACAGAATTGGTTAGAAATATTTATTTTAATTACCTAATATTTATTTTTCAGCCGTTGGAATAATATTTGTGTTATTGGTGTAAGCAACCCATTTTTTCTTAAAGTACTCAATTATTGGCCGAATATATTAAAAATTGGTGTTGCTAAAGTAAATTAAATTTAATTTTTTAAAAATAATTTTTAAAGCCTTCTAAACGTGAAAGGAGTGAATCTCGTCTTGTTAAACAACTTAAAACACAAGCAGCAGCTCAATTCGTTTTGGGAACCCTTAAACGTTGTGGGACAACGGCAAAAGAGCTTACACATTTAGGGATTGATGTTGATGAGGAGGATGGGGATGGAGAGGAATGGCAAAGGAAATTAATTAAGTAATTAATGTTTCGTCTAATAAGTTTAGAAATTTAAGAGGGGTTGTTGGGTATGTGCTTAGTATAAAAGGCTACGGCTTTAGCCATTCGGGGGTTAGTGTCTGTTAGTCGTTATTCTATTCTGTTATTCTATTCTAGTGCTCCACATATTCGGCGTCGGCCATATTCCTATTGTTCGCTACTATTGTATTTAGTCTTGTAGATAAAGCACAGTTTGTTAGTCTGTCTTATCTTGTTATTCTTGTTAGTACGTAGACATAGAAGTCACGTACATAACAGTGGCGCGGTCGACAGGATTCGAACAATCGCAGTTGTATTCGGACAGTTTTATTCGAATAGTCGTATTCGGATATTCATTCTGTATTCAGTAATTCGATATTCAGCAATTCTACATTCAGTATTCAAGTATTCAATTCAAGATGGAAGATGTAGAGTTTGTGAAGATTTCCAAGGCTCAGACGGAGCATATTAGTAAGCAGTTTATTCTATTATTCAAAGGATTGTGCGAGATCAATCCTAAATTCGGAGATTCAAACGGAGAGTCAGCGGAATTGTATGATAAATTAGAATCGCTATTCGAAGAAGTCAAGATTCTAGCATTCACTGCAGCTATTCCGGAAGAAATGAAAGATATTAGAGAGCTTAGTCGTAAATTTGTGGAGCGTTATTCGAGACCAGACAAGTGTAGTCTGATGATTCTATTAGAGGAATGCTGCAGATATGCAGAAAAGAAGGATGAGGACAAAACGTTCGACAGTCATTCAAAGGTCAAGATAGAACCTGACAATTATGTGAATAATGTTAGTAGAGTCGAACATATTCCGAGTAGCGAATTCGGAAATTCAAGAAATAATTCAAGGCAACGAAAAGGCCAATTCAAGATTCGAGATTCACGTCAGTGTTACAATTGTGGCATGATTGGACATATTAGTAGATACTGCCGGAAACCAAAGATAAGGTTGAGCCAAGGCAAAGGTCCAGAAGTCAATCATGTGAAAGTAGATTCTAGTTATTCGAGACCACATTGTCTGACGGTAGAAATTCCGGAGTTGATAGATTCTAGTCAAAATAGTCGTAGCAGTATTATTCAAGGCAGAAAGCCAAAAATTCGGAAAAGTAATAAAAGTCAGAATAGTCAAAATTCGAAAATGGCAAAATATTCGAGAAATTCGAATTATTCGAAAGATTCTAATGATTCGAGGAAGTCAAAGTATTCAAATAATTCGCGAGATTCTATTCAATTCAGAGAAGACATGAAAGTCTTTGTATGGAACAAAAACAGAAATGGCAAAACAGTCTGGTTGCCAGGGACAATTCTTAGTAAATTCGGAGATGATTATAAAGTCGAAGTCCCTTGGCTGAAAACCGTAGTCAGTAGAGAAAAATGGCAGTTAAGAAAGCCAAATTCGATTCATTCAAAGGGAAGTTATTCAGATTCTACAGATTCGAGGGCCAGTCTAAGAACTAGAGAAAGTTCAATTCGGAGTCAAATTCGTGAAAATTCCAGGCACAATTCGAAGAGCGCAGCAGAGACGAAGCAGGATTTGCGCGCTGGCACAGAGGCCAAAGAAGAAAAGAAGTCCTGGGTGCATAAGATGATTTGGGGAAAATAAATGTGATAATATTGTGTAAATTTTTTTTTGTTTTTGTTTGTTTGTTTTCCCCCACTTGTTTTTTTTGTTTTGTAATTTTGGCCCTTTGTATGTATTTTTTTCTGTTGGAGTAAGTATTCGAGCACACCCATGACAGATTAAGAGATAATTCATTCTTTTTAAAGGAGGGAGATGTTGGGTATGTGCTTAGTATAAAAGGCTACGGCTTTAGCCATTCGGGGGTTAGTGTCTGTTAGTCGTTATTCTATTCTGTTATTCTATTCTAGTGCTCCACATATTCGGCGTCGGCCATATTCCTATTGTTCGCTACTATTGTATTTAGTCTTGTAGATAAAGCACAGTTTGTTAGTCTGTCTTATCTTGTTATTCTTGTTAGTACGTAGACATAGAAGTCACGTACATAACAGGGGTTTTTAAAGTGAAAGGAGTCCCGGTGAAAATAATGATTAAACGCCTTGAGGGATAAGTGAATGGGCAGTTTTTTTTAAATTCAGCTAAATATTTAAGACGGGTTTAACCTCCATATATTAAGGTGGATTTGTGTGGATTAAGAAGAATTTGTTGGGGTTAAGGGGTCGGAAATTCTTTCTTGCAAATGTCAGTTAAGGCCAAATGGAGCACTATTCTTAATCTTGAGTCCCTTTTATCCGCCCGAATATTTGGTTCGACATCTAGGTTCTGTTGATCACTAATTTAAAATTAATTAAAATAAATTTAAAGACGTCTCTCTGATCGATCTCAATTGGAAAAACGTTCTGGAGGTTTCTTCACTTCTCATAAACAATTTCTTGCTCAAGACAAAACTTTAACTCGGCGTCTTCTTCACTCACCTTCAGATTCTAGTTCTCAATCTAAAATTCTTAGAAAATATTTTTTTGAACTAACACAAAGCTTTATGAGTCCATTAGAAAGGTTAAAACAACAATTTTTATCAAAAATTAATTAAATATTTAAGTTATATTGCAACATTAATGCCTCTTAAACGAGAGATTTGTCCATTTCAGACAGTCCCACAAATGAGGCCATTTTCTCTCGAGCAATTTCTTACCTCTCTAAAACATTTTGGCCATCCAGGAATTAAAGGAGATTGGCAATGTAATTATAAAAATTAATTAAAAATATTTTTATTTCCAACATTAAAGCATTATATCGCCAATTTGTTACACATTCCCCCAATTTTATTGGTTGGCTTCGACGCCGGCAAACCGATATTGAACGCCAAATTAGATTAGAACATATGGAAGCAATTTGTAATTCTAATTTTTCTTCTCAAATATTGGCTGAAAGAAGTCAAGTTTGTGTTTTTGGGAATTTAAAAAAATTTAAAAAATTTATTTGAGGTAGAAATTGTTGATCTCTTAATGAAATTAGCTAATCGAATTGTTGAATTAAATGAGAGAAAACTTAAATCAAAACAAAGAAGGAATAAAAATGGAGAAATTTTGGATAGATTTCTGACGAATTCTTCAACATTTTCTGTTAAGATTATTTTTAATTTAATTCTAATAATTTACGTATGTGTCTGAATCTCTGGCCCGTAACTAGGGAGGCAGGGGCAGAAAAAACTACTTGAGGGAGAAAAGACTAGTTTTTTCTGCTTCAAGTGATGCATATAAAATTGAGATCTAGTATTTCAAATAAAAAATGTCCCTTCTAAAGGAACTAATTAATTACCGTATAACCTGTATTAATTGCCTTCCCTCAAATAATTACCCCACATCTATTAGCTACCCCATCCATCAATAGATTGCAATGATAATTACACCCTCCCCTATCAAATACTCTAAAACACGTTCAAATCATATAATTACCCTCCCTCAATTAATTACTCCTCCCAGCGGTAGGTCGAAACAATAATTACCCAGGGTAGTTATTCATCGTTTTACTGTAATTGTTAAATTATTCCCTCCCTAAAATTATCTTTTATATTTTAAATTTTAATTAAAAAACAGAAACAATTGGAGCGTCAACATTTACAATTACAACATCAACTACAAAGCATACTTTCTTCTGTTGATGATGAGTTAAAAGTTGTTCTCCTATCAAATCCGACATTTAGAAATGTTTCTGAAAAGGGAAAAATGGAATAGAATGCCGGGAAATTTACTAACTACAACAATTCTAAAATTTGTTTTTTATTTTTAAAATCTCTTTTTTCTTAATATTTTTATGTAAATACCTACATGAACTTTTATTTTTCTTTTTTATCTAATACAACTTTTTTCTTTTGTAAATTTTGTTTTATATCTTGGATTATGTATAAATTAAATTTAAAGTTTCTCGTTCCCATATTTTAATACGAAAATACCCTGAGAAATACCAAGTCCGTAATTTGAATAAAAAAAAAAGATTTGTGTCGAAGCTCTTAGACTATAAATCCATAATCTTGACCTGCATGCAATAATAGGATATTTTAGGTATTTTACATCTTATAAAGTCAAGTTTTGTTAAATTTTATAAAGTGAACTAAAACCAGATGAAAAAGTAGTAGCTAAGCCAGTATTATTAAAAATATTAATTCAACGGAAGTAGACGTGTAAATAATTATTATATTGATTATACATGTATACATGTATACATGACATACATTTATTTTTTATTATTATAAATTTATCTTCTTAATTTTATTTTAATTAAAATAATTTTAAATTCTTTAAATTATTTTTTGTATTTGCATGAAAGAAAAAGACTTTCATAAAGGATCAGTTTGGTTGTTCTCCAGTCGAACGGTCTTTCACTTAATAACCCCTTCAGCAGTTTTCCTTGTATGAAACCTTTTAATCTTAAGTCATTACCGGTGATTCAATCTCGTCATCCCGATCATATACAGATTTCCTATGACAACACGAAATCTCTATGTCCTGGCCAGGCATAAAAGTTTCATTCCATCAAATGCTTCTGATCGACAATCTATTACATCCATATTATTAATATTTTTTGTTTAATTTTTAGTTATTTAACAATGAAATTAACCAATTTTTTCACAAAATCTTTATTATTTTTAATTATTATATTCTTATCTGAAATTAATGGAATGAAAAACAATTCAAACAAATCTCTAAAAAAGAGACCAAAACATACAGGAGAAAATTTTGTTTTTAAAAAATTGAATTTCGAAAGTTCGAGTGTTCAAAATTCAGAAAGTAATTATTTAAAGTTTAAAATAATTTTATTTATAAAAATAAAAATTAAATTGAAACTTAATAAATTACATTATTAATTTAACTTTTTATTTAAAAAATAAATATTTAAAAAATAATTATTATCAAAATTTAGAAAAAGAAACAATAGATTTGTTGAGTAAATTTAAAGGAGAAAAAGAATATTGTGATTGGGATAAAAGAAAGTTATATCCAAATAAGAATGAAGAAAATGATTTGTTAAATTTGTTGGCTGATACAGCTATCGAGAATGAGAATGTTGGGAATGGTGAATCCAGCAACTAAGAGGAATTTATACAGAAAATCGAAAACAATCTACACCATTTATAAAAATTTTTTTAAAGATTTCATTATTTACCTAGCTTTATACAAGTTCCTCGTTGAGTAAACATGTTTTTATTTCTTTTCAAACAACAAACATATAATTTTTGTCATCTTTTTATTAACGTAGATTGTTATATAAAACAATTAATTTTTAGCTTACAAATACTTTTGTCGCTAAACTAATTTTTAAATTAATCATATCAAACTAGAAAATATTTTTAGATTAGAAAATTCATTACAAGCCATTTTACAATGTCATCCGTGTCAAGAATTTTGTAGTATTTTTACTCGGTTCCTATTGTTATTGAACCTTTACTATGAATTGGAAAGATTGAATAAAAGAGTGGAGTTTATGACTAGATCAAAAAATTAACTTTTAATCAACAAATTTATCTCCAATATCTAAAAACCCCAACATAAAATAGCAAAAAAATCTCCAAAAATATTTCAAAGTTCTGTCTTTTTATCCAAAGAATCAACTTTATTATCTTCCAAACCCTCTTCAATAATTTCATCTTCTTTTGAAGCACTACATTGTTCATCCTTTTTGGAGCACTTAACAAAGTCTTCAGATTTTTTCAAGTTTTTCGAATCGTTCAAAGTATTTCCTTCAAAAATAAATATTTTAAATAGGGAGCGAGCTGGATCTGGATCCAGCCCTTGATTCTTCTTGGATCCAGAGTCCAGATCAAGGCATTTTTCAGAGTTCCTTGATTTTTCCTTGACCCAAGGTCAAGAATCTGGTCAAGGTACCCAACCGAAATCAAGGTCAAGGATCAAGGTCAAGGTTTTTTAAAAATCTCGCTATCTAATTCTAAGCTGATTTTAATTTATTAAATTAAAAATTACATAAATTTTAATTACCTTCATTTTCGTTAATTTTATTTTTCTCATCTTGGTTTTTATCGTTAACTTTTTCTTTTAAATTGTTTTCAACTTTACCATTTTTCTCATTTTGATTTTCTGATTTATCTTTTTCCATTTTTTCATTACCCATTTCCCTAACACTTTCTTCTACCTTCGTGTCCGGAAATTTGGGGAGTGGACATTTGGGGAGTGGGAATTTGGGGAGTGAGCGGACATTTGGGGAGTGGACAATTGGGGAGTAGACATTTGTGGAGTGAGGATTAAAAAAATAATTTAAAAATAGATTTTTTGGACAATAAAAATAATTTATACACTCATGAAGGTGTTTTTGTGGATTTCAAAGATTTTAAGGATATTTTGATGTCTGTAACATCTGTAACATCTTCATTCTGTAACACACTGCTGTTGAGCGTGTGAGCGTGTTGTGTATTTCGGTTTAGTACACCAATAAAAGTAGGGTAGCACCTACCCTTCGGGGGCGGGTGTGTCGGGGATCGTGGTTTGCCGGGGAAGGCATGTCAAGGAATTTTACCCTTTGAAACTCCACAAAAACACCTTCATGAGTGTATAAATTATTTTTATTGTCCAAAAAATCTATTTTTAAATTATTTTTTTAATCCTCACTCCCCAAATGTCTACTCCCCAATTGTCCACTCCCCAAATGTCCGCTCACTCCCCAAATTTCCACTCCCCAAATGTCCACTCCCCAAATCTCCGTGAGCCTCTACCTTATATTAAATAATAATTAATTCTTCTAGTTTATAGAATTTATTTTAGTAAATATTTTAATAAAAAGGTCTTTGACAAAAAATTTTTTATTGAGGCATTCCCGCCCAGAAATTACACAGAAAAGATCGTATAGGATTGACCTGAGAATTGTGTTGTTATACGCCCAAACCTCCCATCTACCCTTCAAGAATATTAGCATCGAAATATTCTCTATAAAATTCAAACTAATAATTATTTAACAAAAAGGGGAGAATAATTTTAAAATTAATGTTAAAATATACCAAACGATCAACAATTTCTTTCTCATCCAATTCCTCATCATCATCATCCAAATTAGGCATTCTACCCAAAAAATCAAACAATTCACGTTGTGCTTCAAATTCATCATCATCAATCTCTCCATCCTTGTTTGTGTCAATTCCTTTAAATATTTCTAGGTTTGGCATTGAATTGGGGGAAAAATCATCATCCGTATCCTTTCCTTTACCTCCACGCATTCCTTTCATTTTTTCATTGAGAAATTTACCGAATTCAATGGGATTAAGACGTTCATTCTAAATTTAAAGAATGTTCAGAGTTAATAATTGAATTTATTTAATTTTAATCTAGCATTTTAATTATTACATTTCTTTAATTTAACATGTCTTTTAACATGTCTATTTATTTTCAATTGACAGCTCTAAATATGCTTACCGGAATTTTCGTAGATTTTTCGAACGGCCACTAATGCCGAAGCTTAAGGGGTTATTATAATTCTCTGACAGTCGTTTTTTAGGAAACATCAGTTATATCCCCTATATACATAAATAATTTATATCTGATTGGTTTTTTCTTTTGAATATGAATTAGTAATTCGTAAAAATATTTAAAATTATGATATTCTGAATTTAATTATGTTTTTTACTTAAAACTTCGAAATGCGTATCATTTTCTGAAGAGTGTATACCCTCGGTTTTCTTTCAAAATCTAAAATAATATAAGAAGGTTTTTCTGGAATGACAAGGTTTTTCTGGAATCTCAGAGAGCTGTGAACAAATTAAAAAAAGAATTATTAATTTTTGTTGAGCTTGAAACGAGATATGGCCAAAATAAAATAATTATTACTGCCTTAACTAATTTATTTTTAATTATTAAAAATATCTACATTATCCTCATCGTATTTCTCAAAAAGTTCGTCTTGTCCTTGGACACACGTTAATATAATAAAGAAAATGTTTAGAAATAAATACATTTTCTCCTAAAATTTAACAAAAGTTTAATTATTATTGCTTTAATTTCAACAAATATTTTTTAATATTAAGAAATTAAAAACTTAAAAATATAAAGAGGCAATAGCCATTAAAATATTTATTTTAAATTTTGCCGAATATTAAAATTGATTTTCTTTTTTAACAAATAAAAGTGCAACCACGAGGGGGCCCTTTAAAATTTAAATTTAAATGGCGCGTGAAATCGCGCAACATCATTTGAAGCGCATCAAATGATATACACGTGGAATTTCAATTCCTCTCATCTGACATGCGTCAAAATTTTGAGGGGAAAGAAAAGTCTGGAAAATGCTAGACAATAATAGAGAATTGTTAAATGCTTTAAAAAAATATTTTTCCTCGCCGTTTAAGTTTTGTAAGGAGATTCACCTAGAATATTTAAAACGCTTAGGCGGGGGTTAAACAATCTAAAAGGATTAAGGAGAAAGAATTATTCGATGCCCCAGTATCTCATTCAATGCTCCTGGCGCCTATATGTATGTGGTGAGCGAAAGCGCCTAGCAATAACTGTCAGGAGGTCGCAGGTTCAATCCTGCCCGATGGCAAAACTTTTGCTAGACTTTCTGTTTAAAAATGTGGTATTAGGGAAAACTTGCTGGAATAGATTGAGTTTCTTAAATAAAAAGCTGAGGCTATAACATAAATGCTCTAATAGAACCATGTATGCTTCTATTTTCCAACTCCTTCTTAGGGTGTGCTTGTATTAGAGAGTGTGCTTCTGATAGGGATTGCGGATTTATTATTGCACTTACGGTATTTTACTTCATAAATATTGAAAAGAAAACTTTAATTTTTGTCTTCGATGGACGGTAGCTAGAAGCATATGCCACAATTCGGATTTGGCAAACAATTGAAGTCTATAAGGGTAAAATATTCAAGTCGAGGGGGGGGGGGTGAACAGACAAATCAATTATCGAAAATTGATTTTAGCGAGAATAATGCCATCGTTAATAGCTGTAGGGGAGAGAGAAAGAGAAAAATTTTTTTATTAAATTTTATGGCAGCATTGTATAGGTTTTTTAAAACTACCCCAGGATAAGAAGAATTCTTAAATTTTTTAAATTAATGTTAAAGCTCTGATTCTATAATTAAAAATAAATTTATAATTTTTTATTTTTAATTAGAAGAAGACATTTACAATTCTTAAGCATTGTTTTTCTAATTCAAAATGATCATTCGATCATTGCTGATCACCATACTATTATTTAAACTCTTTGTGGATTCGAATGTTTGTTTTATTAAATAAAAATAATTAATTAATATAATTAAAAAATTAATTTAATTTAGGAAGGAATATCCCAAGCAGACGGAAAGCCCTTAGCTGTCCATCTCTCTCTTGCTCGTCAAACAGAAATTCAAAATAATGAAAAAGAAATAAAAATTTTAAAAAATTCTAAAATAAACTTTAATTCACTTATTAAAAAAATAAAAGTTATTTTAGAGAAAATGGAAGAATTTGTAAAAAGTAATGAAAAACCTGAAAATCTTCCATTGAAGTTTGAAATGGAAATGGAAAAATTTTTAGTTGATCAAGCAAAAATTAAATTGGTAAAAACTTTAATAGAAAAAATGAAGGAGTTTAGAAAAAACGGAGTTGTGAATATTCCGGAAGAAATTGGTGAACTTACTTGTGACACGAACCAATTGGTTTGTTGTTTTATTTTAATATAAGGTGGTCCTCGTCCCCCGAAATCCCAAGTTAGACGATTTGGCAAAACTGACCCGAACCTCGAAGGCTCCACCGACAAACCCCGAGACTCCCTACCCCAAAGGGTCCATTCTACCCTATTTTAATATATCCGAAAAGTTCTCAGAATGTTTGTATTATTGTTGGGATTAAATGTTGAGTATCATCTTTAATGTTATAATTTAAAAATTTATTTTAATTTCAAAAATAGGAAAGCATTGGAAAACAAATAGAAAACAACAAAAACATCAAAAGAGAAACAAAATATTATCTTTTAAAGAATTATAATTTTTATTCGGATACAATAAATACTTTTTTTACCAAAATAAAAATTATTTTATTAACCTTGAAACAATTAAATGAATTAAAGAATTTGGACATTGTCTTAAAAATGAATAAGAAAAATATAGAAAATATTGTTTGGAATGAAGTTATTAGTGGAATAGATGGAAAACGTGGAACTGAATTTAAAGTTTTGTAAGTTACTTAGAAGTTGTAAGAAAAAGTAAAGCAGTTGGGCTATAGCTATTTCTCTCCTTTAGGTAGTGCAAAAGGTTAATCGGCGGCTGGGAGCGAACCAGCATCTTCAGTAGACCGGACTGATGTGTTAGCCATTACACCGCGCCACCTAATGCACAGCCTTAGGAGTTAAATAGCTATATATGCTTTACAAAAATTTATTAAAAATTAATTTTTATTTAGAGTTAACAAAGGAAAACGAGAAATAGAGGAAATTTGTGAATGTAATTTTAAAAAGATTTTAAGAGAATATAATGAGATTAACATTGAAGAAATCCCAAAAAATAATTACGAAAGTACTGATGAATTAAAAATTAAAATTCTATTAAGAGAAGTTTACAAAATAATTAATATAAAAGAAAATGAATGGAAAATTTTAAAAGTAATTTTAAAAATAAATATTAAATTAGTTTAAAATTTTTAATTTAAAAATAATTATTTAAATTTTTTAAGAAAAAATATAAAAAAATGTCAAAATTATTACAATTAAATTATTTGGCAAATTTGTTTTATAAATTAATTAAATGGATTTTGTCAACTTTAAGTTTGGATATTAAAGGAATTATTAACTCTCAACAGGAAGTAATTAGTTTAAGTAAGCCAAAAACAAAACAAATTAGAACTCTTGGATCGCTTATTAAACAAGAACATGATTTGAGCAAAGGTATAATTTAAAGAATATCTCTGCTCAAAAGACAAATTTTTAATTTGATAAGTTTTTAGTCTACCGTCCTCCACATTTGAGCAAACAAAGGATCCTCCCTGCTATGGACCTAAAATCCGCGATAAAATCTGAATCAACCTAGATCAGAGTTGCGATTAGGACACAACTCTGAGCGGTATGAACTTAAAATCTGATAAAATCCAGTATCCTTCCAAATGTTGATAAATAGTATAAAATTATCTATTTGAATTATTAATAATCAAATAATATTTAATAAATTTTTCTAAAAAATATTTTATAAAATAAAATATTAGCAACAACACCTACTACCAAAAAACTTTTATTTATCTGGACAATTGCCGAGGATGTTTTAAAAAAATTAGAATATGAAAATGGAAAATTTGAATTTAGAGATGATTTAGAAATAAAAGAAGAGGAAAACGAATTAAAGATATTTCCTTGTTGGAGTTATGAAGATGAGGAATTTTGTTTTGAAACAATTAAAATTATTAAAAAATTATTAAAAATTTATGAAAATATTAAAGAATTATATGGATTAGAATATTTTGTTGGAGGTAAGGGGAAGATGTTGATGGAAATTAAAGGAAAAATTAAAGAAGAAATGAATTCAGAAGAAATACTTCCTTTAAATTTGGAGATGTATATTATTGAATATTTTGGTGGAGAACACGAACCCTAAAATGTAGTGGATATTTTAGAATTTAACGTCATTTAAAACATATGTATATACTTTTTAAGATTTATTCGTCTGGTTTTAAGAAAATGAATCGAAAATTTATACCTAACTGTAAACTAACATTACTAACTTTTAATTATCGAAATGTATTTAAATTTTCCTCTAAGTTTATTGTACCGACCGTAAAAACCGAACCCTAAAATGTATGTACTAAAAATATTTTCAAACGTATAAAAAATGCCCGTTGATAAATATTACTATTTTTTATTTGTATTATCGTTTACTTTATTTAATCATTATTATTTTTTATTAATTTAATTATTTGTAAATATTACATATGTAAATAAACTATTTTTCATTTTTGGTTCCAATACTAACGTGACTTCTGCGCCGCCAATTTTGCACCGCAATTAGTAAATATTTAAAAAATATAAGAATAATTAAGTTCGGACCGCAATATAGCGTAACTCTTGGGGCTTAAAAATGAGATATGGGAACTTAAAAAGTCCGGAAACTAAAAGGGGCCAATAAATGTACAATGTGATTCAATCAATTCAATGATCAAGATGTACAATGAATGATTTAAGTTCACCGCCCCTGGAGTTTTTGACAAATTTTAAATTGACGCCCGCAATTGTCGTATCTGACAATAAACCCGTCTAAAGTCTATTCTTTTTTATAAACAAATAAAAATTTATTTTTAATTCATTAAAGGTTAAAGGGCAAAGAAAAATTTATTTATTTTAAATTTTGCGCAAAGCGGCATTAATTAAAGGCAGTCACGAGTGCCACGAGCATTGATTTGTTTATTGAAAATTCATATGGCGGAAATGCTTTAAAGGGAAAAGGGCAATTTGGCAATGTAAAAAAAGGAGGAGAGGGGGGGGGGGGGGAAGAAAACACATGAATTAAAACACAAAATAAAATTTAAAGGGAAAAATATATTTTTTCATTTAAAAAATTTTTAAATAAAAAAATATTTTAATTAAATTTAAATTAAATTAAAAATATTCATTTTAAAGAGAATTTTTATTTAATTTTCTACATCCAATTTAAAAATGATTATTCGATCATTTTTAATTCTTCTTGTAATTTTTAAATTCTTTGCGGATTCAGATGTTTGTTTTTAAATTTAAAAAATTAATTAAATATAATAATTTAATTTAGAATGGATTAATTAATTCAAATAAAGAAGAAAAGACGTTGTTTTCACTAATTTCTGGTGAACGTAAAATGAGAAGCAAAAATGAAGCTAAAATTAATTTTAATTTAATTATTCAAAATATTAAAGATTTTACAAATAAAATAAATAAATTTGTAAAAATATATAAAAATAATAAAACAAAAGAAATTATGTCATTAAATATCTCCATGGAAGTGAAAGAATTTAAAAATGATCAGATAAACATTAATGATTTAATTAAACAAATGGAAAAAAATGAAATAAATATAATTGAGGATATTTTGGAAATAATTAATAAAATTATTTATAACGAGAAAAAAATGGTTGTTATTTAATTATTATAATTTTTTAGAAATAAATTTTATATGTTATGGTTAATTTTTACAAAAATATAGTAAAAAGTATTTTAAAAACAAAATTATTAATGCATATAATTAGATTTCCATTATTTCCTCTTATGGATCGGGTCTATTCATAATAACGTATAACGTCTATCAGATCTTATTTTAATGATAAGATAAAATAGATCCGATAAACTATTTTTGTTGCGAGAAACAAAAACTTTTATGTTCGGAGACGGGGTTTTTGAATTGTTTTGAGTTGGGATTCGGGTCTGGAGAATTCTGAAAAAAGTTTTTAGGAAGGTTCGGGGTTCTATAAAACTGTCTCTGATTTACTTTATATATTTTTTATTAATTTTATTTTTAATTAATAATTTACTTAAAAAACAGGAAAAATTTTTCAATGAAATAAAGCAAACAAAAATCCAAAAACACAAAGAAATTCTTGAGGAAGTTTATAATTTCCGTTTGGAAATGAACAAGTTTTTTGGCAAAATTAAAATAATTTTATTTAATTTGAATGAATTAAATATAATTAAAGAAGAAAATAATTTTAATGAAATAGAAATAAATAAAAAATATATAGAAGAAGAATTTGTTAATAAAAATAAATTTATTTTAAATAAATTTAAAGAATTGTAAGTTTAAAAAAATTATTTTTAGTTAAAATTAATTTTTTAAAAATTTATTTTAAAGAATTAAAGAGCATAAACAAGTGTTATTGAAATTAAAAAATTGTCAAAAAAATTGTGAAATAAAAACAAAGAAAAATTTTAAAAAATATTTGCTAAAAATTCTTGCAAATGAAAATAAATATTTAAATAAAAAATTTGAAAATTGTAAAAATAATGATGAGTTAATTTGTAATCAATTGGCAGGAAAAAGCAAAATTGAAAATCTTGATAAGGATAATGAATGGAAAAACTTGAAGGTTTTTAAAATTTTTTTAAAATAATTTTTGAAATATTTTCGGCGGAAATAAGCTGATAACTGAAATAATTTTAAGTAAAGCTAAGCTGTCAATCAAACCTCATTTTTAAATACTTTTATGATGCAAAAATTGTACCCTAAAAGAGGTACTAAAGGTATCGTTCTATCAACGTCATTTTTCAGTTATCATAAATTATCAATATCGCTTAGCAAACTCTTTACACACAGTGGGCAGAATAATTTTTTATTTAAGCAAACACCTCGTAAAATTTCTAATTTAAAAATAATTAATTATATTTTTTAAGAAAAGATATAACAAAATGTCAAAATTATTACAATTAAATTATTTGGCAAATTTGTTTTATAAATTAATTGAATGGATTGTGTCAACTTTAAGTTTGGATATTAAAGGAATTATTTACTCCGAACAGGAAGTAATTAGTTTAAGGACATCTTTTAGTGAAATGGATACGAGTGATGATGAAAATTCTGAGAAGCTGAAAACAAAAGATATAACAAAATTTGGATCCCTTATTAAACAAAAGCTTGATTTAAACAAAGGTACATATCTTGTTATAAAATTAAAAAATATATCCATTGTCCACGTTTTCGTTTTACTTTTCCTTTTTCCATATTACTGATAAAATCCAGAATCTGTATTAGTAAAGCTAGACTATGTAGTCATGGAATTAAAATATAGATTTAACCCGATTATATGTACATAGTTATTATCAGACTAGGAAACGGATACGGATCTTGGTATCCGTATCCGGATATTTACGGCGGATACAGATTTACGGCGGATATCCGTATCCATGACCATGTCTGGTTATTTATATTTAACCTAATAATTTTTTTAAATATTTTAGAGAATGGCCAGTCTAAAATTACAAAAGAAAAAGAAATATTAACTAAAACCCCAACAGAAAAACTTTTATTTATTTGGACAATTGCCGAGGAAGTTTTTAAAAAATTAGAATATAATAGTGGGAAATTTGAATTTAAAAAAGATTTAGAAATGGAAGAAGAAGAAAACGAATTAAAAATATTTCCTTGTTGGAGTTATGAAAATGAAGAATTTTGTTTTGAAACAATTGAAATTATTAAAAAATTATTAAAAATTTATGAAGATATTAAGGAATTATATGGATTAGAATATTCGGGTAAAAAATACAAAGAAATGATAATTGAAATTAAAAAAGAAATGGATTCAGAAGAAATACTTCCTTCAGATTTGGAGATGTATATTATTAAATATTTTGGTGAAAAATAGATATACATATCTATTTTGGATATAGAAGAATTAAGAGCTAAATTAGTTGCTTTTCTTATTAAAAGCTTGTCAGAATTGTCCAGATTGAAAATTTTTTGTTCATTTTTTAAACAAATTTGCATATACTTCTATTGGGTCTTAGGTATTTTCTATTATACATATAATTTTTTATAAATTCATTCAACCTCATGAAAAAGCTTGTAAAATTTACTAAAAATTTAGTTGGTTTATTCTAATCATTGACATCTTCTATTTACCAAATTTTGCTAAAATTTTAAATAGCCCCGGAACCTTCATTCTTCAATACCAGAGGTATTAAAGAGCAAAGGCTGTCTGAGATTGGAACTGTCGGAAATCGGAATTCTGACCAACCTCAATGACCGTCTATCGAAGTAAAAAATTAAGCTTAAATAACTAGTTCAATTATAAAATCTCTGTCCATTAGAATAAATTTATACTTGATCTACATTTATTTTAAATATATTTTTAAATTAAAGTTATTTTAAACAATTAACGTATAACTCGAATAATTACCACTTTCAATAATTACCCTCTCGATTAATTACATCCTCTAGCAAAACGTTGAAAAAATAATTAGCTAGGTTAATTATTCGAGCAAATGCAGTAATTCAAGTAATCTTCTAGCTTTAACGAGATTTCAATGATTCTGTTTATCTTTAAGTTTCCTTTAATTCTTATCGTTCAAGATTTTCATTATTTATCATAAAAATAGTAAAAAGCTTCTTTCGAATTATTTCTGTAATTTTTCTATTCGGTCCTTTATGTATAAAATTTTAATTTTTCTACAAAATTACTACATATTTAATTAAATTAATTAAATGAAAAGTAAAAATAAATTATTATTTAAATTGAGATGCCAAATAAAAAAAAACAAGAAAAAAAAAAGATTATGTAGATCCAACAAAATTTAGGATTAAATCGTCATAAAAATATTACTAAAACATTCCTTTCTATTTATGTATTCTTATTTACATTAAACTTTAAATATCTCTCTGTACATTTACCTCAAACAGAAAATATAAATTTTATTCCAATTTTGCCACTTTTGCAGAAAAAAATAAATCCTTAATGAATATAAAAAGTTTAATAATCCTTCTTAAAACATTTTAATTCTGAAAATTTGTCTTTAAAAGGATAATACAAATTTTGTCTTCTAATGAAATAAAGCAACAATATTTTTAGAAAAATTGATGCAAAAAATATTCTCGATTTAGTTGGGGCTAATTACTAAATTAGGCAAAAGGAGCGATTAAAAGCTATTTTAGAAATAATCCAAAGAATATTTTTACTTAAATGTGCTTTGCTTATTTAAATATATTTATTTATTTATTAATAAATATATTTAAGTATTTACTTTCAAAACACACAAATTAGTTGAACGTCTTAAAACTTAAAAATTCTTATTTGTTAAAAATGAGTTGAGAATCTTTATGTAGTTAATAAAATTTGAACTTCATTTTTCTACTCTAAAAATCTTATCATTCTAATTCCTTAGCCAAAGCCAAAATACACTATTTCATACATGATGTTTCACAGAGTCCGTGTTGGGCAAAACCGGTTACTCGGTTTCACTCGGTTTTCGTTTTTTTTTATTTTCTAGACCAGGTCATTCTTATTATGGTCCTTTCTTTTTCAGATATCTTTCTTATTATGGGCATATTAACACTTAAAACCCGAGTTTTAAGTGTCTAGCTCGTTCAATTATTAATAAACCCTCTTAATTATATTATAATCAACTTCTATATTAATAAATTCAATAAGCAAGGATTAAATAATTATTTTATTGACAGATTTATTATCTATAATTATTAAAAATAGATGTAGATCCCTAATTAAAATTATTCTGAGCAAATATCCCAGAACAACTACTAAACGACCAAAACTATTTTACTTTATCCCAAAAATGCTTAAAAATTATGCTCAATAGAAACCAACCTAATAGCTTATCTTTACTTATTTGTGACAAAAATATTAGAATCTCTAGTTTTAAAAATTGGCTAACATTTCTGATATTGATAAACAGGTAGAGAAATTACGTTAAATTATTTATATAAATGAAAACACAACTTAATATTCCCTTTACTATAACACAAACTCACATTGTAGCAGAAGAATAATGTACAGGGTGTTTTATCTACGAAGCACTATTTGAAAAATTAATAATTTTTCACTACGTAAACAGTTAGGGTTCGAATTTAGACATAATTCTATGTCAAAAAAATTTTCATAAATTTTAGATATAAAATACCAAAAATTATTAAAATCTGTCAACGTAATAAAAAGTTATTAATTTTTCAAATAGTGCTTCTTAATTGAAACTAGGGTTTGACCCCGACCCCGATCCCCGAACCCCGACCCCGTTCCCGAACGATTTTTTTACGATTCTCCCCGACCCGAACCCCGCCCCGAAAAAAAGTGAAAACCCCGTACCCCGACCCGAAAAGTTTCGGGGTTATCGGGGTTTTACATACCCAAAAAATGTAATTTTTGGGAGAATTTTAAGAGAAAAATTTTAAGAATTTCCTCCCAATTTACTTTGCTTTTATTATTTTTGAAAGAAAAATGAATGAAATATCAAAATTCTCTTTCCTACTGTGTTAAGAGACTTGTGGTTGAGTGGCTTAGTTGTTGATTTTAGCCTATATTTCCATTAATTTAGTATTGGGTTCGGATTCAAATAAGCTTAACTCGTTTGTTTTTGGATTTTTCTTTACAAAATGAAGGGTTTAATTTTAATTTTAAATGTTAATCTTATTTTTAAATATTATCAACCATAAAAAACAATGCAAAGATTTTTGTTCAGTGTTAAAATTTCAAAAATTTTCATGTGCGGCGCTAAAAAAAGATTAAATTTGGCTTCGTTGCCTTCCAAATATCAAAATATTTGACCTCAAATCCCTCACCTCAAATCCCTAACCCTCTATATCTCTCCAAATTGCTGCATCCTTATCCTTAATACAAAAATCCCTTTATTTCCTCAGCTATAATGCTAGGAGTTTACCGGCGGATTTGATATCAGGCGTAGTAAATGATTAATGGGATTTGAATTGATATAGGTTGTAGATTAAGGTTGGTGGATAGCCAAAATCACTGATATCCTATGAAACCAATTTTAATCCCTCCATATCGCCTTAATCCTTCCCTTAATCCCTCCAAATCCCCTTACATCCTTTGTTAGACACCTTAAATCACATTTAATCCCTAAAAAACCTCTTATATTATCTCTAATTCCTCTATCTCCCCTTAATTTTTGAATAAATTAACGAAAATAGACCGAAAAGGCTTATTTTTAGAACATATTTTCCTCAAAAAATTTTTCCACTAAACCCCCGTACCCCGACCCGAACCCCGAGCATATTTTGCTCCCCCGACCCGAACCCCGCCCCGAAACAATTCGAAAACCCCGTACCCCGACATACCCGCCCCCGAGCGTTCGGGGTCAAACCCTAATTGAAACACCCTGTATTTTAAAAATGAGATATATAAACTAGAGTTGGCCGGTATCGGGATTTAGAGAAAAACCCGGGATCGGGATTTTGGGTTGGTGATCCCGATCCCGATCCCGGATCCCGACACGGGATCGGGATTGGCCGAAATCGGGATCGGGATTTGGACTGGAGATCCCGATCCCGGTCCCGATCCCGAATCGGGACCGGGATTAAAAAATCGGGATCGGGATTTACTAAAAATTTTTTTAAAAAACTTTTAAATTTTTATTTTCTTCACAAACGACTTAATATAATTCTAAAATTTCCACTGTGGTGCTGAAATATTGAGTTAAAGTCTCATAGACGCATGATTTACTTTCCGGTTTAGGGGATTAGAAGGGGATAAGGTATGGGGGGGGGGGATAAATGGGATTGGGCATCATCCATTTTAAGAGCCGCAGGCAAAAATTTTGAAAAATTTGGAAGGCCAAGGTGCCAGATTTCCTCCCTTTTAAGCGCCGAAGGCAAAAATTTTGAAAAATTTAGAAGGCCAGGGTGCCAGATTTCCTCCCTTTTAAGCGCCGCAGACAATATTTTTAATTTTGGAAGGCCAAGGGCATCCAAGTCTAAACGTTCAAGTCTATACGATTAAGTGCGTTACGTTCAAATGTGGACGATGAAGAACTGAGATTGAGGGATTAAGTGATATATTCATGTAATATATTTCTTAAGCCCTCGATTTCTCTTCAAATCTAACTTAATCCCTGTAAATTCACCGATAACCTTCTATACTACAAATCCACCTATACTTTTCTCAATCCCTCTTGATCCCTCGATATCACACCAAATCACTCAATATTTCGTTAAAGTTGTAATGACAGCTTTGTTCATTTGCGCCGCAGACAAAAATTTTGAGAGACTCCGCTCTTTTGTTAACTTTATTTCACAGACTTCTAGTCAATTTATAAAGTCGGGATTTTCATCGGGATTTGATGCACATCCCGATCCCGATCCCGGATCCCGGCTCGGGATTGAGGTTGGCCGGGATCGGGATCGGGATATATATTTCGGGAGCGGGATCAAAAAAATCGGGATCGGGATTCGAAAAACCCGGGATAATCCCGCCCGATCCCGACCGGGATCCCGATCCCGGCCAACTCTAATATAAACCTGTTATTTCCTCCTCTAAATTATAAGTACAGAACTGTGTCGAGTCTGAAATCGAGTAAAAAATGTAGTTGGACCGACTGAACTCCTTTAGATTCTTTCATAAGTCAATATAAAAATATTTAGCGATCAACTATCAATATTTTCTCCTACACACTTTGCCTCCACTAATTTATCTGAAAGTAGATCGGAAACATTGTTTAATTGGCTAAATTTTCAAAATGATAGTAATTATACACCAATAGCCCCAGCCAGTCCAGAATCATTAATTAAACTTGGTCCTTCTGAAAGAGTGGTAAATGGACTTAGTTTATCGGGAGGATCTTCAATTATTTCTGATAATAAAGTTGATACAACAACTGAAAATAGTAAAACTAATTCAAATCGAATGACAATAAAAGGAGGTAGACGGATGCGCAAACATCATCGACAACGGTATTTTTTTAATCTAGAAAGGAATTGTTTACATTGTTAAAAATAGACTAGGTATATTACTAACAATTGGGCAAACATGTGTATAATAAAAATATTTTTAAATGAAATTTATATATGTACAATCTCTAAAAGAAAAAATTGTATCGCCGAGTTATGTAAGTCGAATACTGCTAAAACTAGTCAGCTGACTCAATTCCGGGCAGTGATAAGGACTTTTGAAAATAAAAAAAACCGATATGGGGGATTAGGCTCCGATTATATATCCGAAAGAGCTCAGTGAGCTTAACTGATTGATTTGAAAATCATTCTGTACAAAGTCTGAAGCTTTGTGGAAACTGTCTTTTGCTACTCTAACCCCATAATATGGACATAACAATTATTTTAATCATTATAATTTTTAATAATTTTAGGGTTGATGCAAACACACCATTTACCCTGCGAGCAATTTGTCCATTTAAATTTGTGTTAAATCATAAACCAAATGTGAGATAATATAAATATTTTGCTTATTTTTAATTAAGGAAAAAATATTTTTTCAGAGAATTCCATCAACATTAATTGAAGTAGAATGCCTAAGTCATAGCCCTTCACAAATTTTATTAGGCCGTCCACTTCCCTTAATTGAGTGTGAACCAATGAGATGGACAATACGTGTTTTGGAATGTAATAATGATAAAAAACAGGAAGGGAAGGAAGAAAAAATTAATTGTTTGCCTGTAGAAGAACATATTCCGTTAGCTTGTGTTCCTGTCCTTCAAGCAAATAAAGAATCTAGAGAACCAATAAGAAGTGAAGACGATTTAACTGATATTGTTGCGGTTATTTCTGTTCCAGCTGAACCTTTAAATGAGAAATTTGTACCAGTATAGAATTTTTGGATAAAATATAAATACCGTATATCCTTTAATAACTACCCTGGGTAATTATAGTTTCGACATTCAGCTGAAGTAATTAATCGAGGGAGGGTAATTGAAGTAATTTAACGCAATTTAGGGTATTTGTTTGGGGGTAATTATTGTTTCAATCTACCGTTGGATGGGGTAATTAATGGAAGTGGGGTAATTACTCGAGGGAGGGCAGCTAATACAGGTTATACGGTATTCTGTGAATATTCATATTTTAAAATTTTTTTTTATTTCCCAGATTCAACTTTATATTCATGTGATATTTGTATTTTATAAATATAATAATTTGAAATTTTTATCATGAATTCAAAATTAAAAATATCAATGAATAAGACGAAAAATTTGGCTTTAATTATAAGTAATAGAATATTAATGTAATAATTCTTTAAAATTATTTTTAGAAATATTTATGTAACAATAGATAAGTATAACTAAATTATAAATTAAAAATCCAAACTTTAACTTTATTTTAAAAAGTAATTCAAAAATATTTATTTTTCCCTCAAAATTTATTTTCTACTTTTCAGTAACAACATTTTCTTGAGTATTTTTTTCTTCAATTATTTTATGTAATAAATTATTTGTAACTTTTGGTGTACTATTATTTTTGTTTTTGTTTGTCTCATTATTTCCACAGAAATTCATTTCCATACAAGCCTAAAAAATAAATATATCAATAAAATTTGTTTAAATTTTTATTTATCAAAAATTTGATTTATTCTTTTTTAAATTAATTTGACAGATTTGGGGTTAAAAATTTTATTTTGGTGGTACTAGTGGCTTCCGAAAATATTTTGACACTTTAAAGCTTCCAGAAGTTTTTTAATTTTATAAATTAATTATTTTTTAAATTAAATAACCAGATCAGGATTATTCATATAAAATTCCAAATCTTCAAAAAAATCAGCCATTTCATTATAAACAAAATCCTCACACTAAAAAATAATATTCTTTTTAACTTAAAAAAATATTTAGACAAACCATTTGTCTAAAAATTCCCAATTTTGGACATAAATTTACTCGGATATATTTACGTAATTTTTCTTCAAATTCTGGATTACTTATGAAAAACCGCATTTGGATAATAGCTTCTTTGCAAACAAAACAAGTTCCAATATCAAACTAAAAAAATTTTAAAAAATTAATTAAAATTAAAATAAATTACCCAATTTTTAGTTAAATTATTTTCATTATTTAATGCCAAATTAGATTCTTTAGAAAGTCCTTGACTTCCAAGAAAACCAAAAACAGCAACAAACATAACTGTAATAATTATTTTATTTTGCATTATTTTTTAAATTTTAATTTAGAATTAAATAAATAATTTGAAATAATTTTTTAATTAAAATAACCTCTTTTATTTAGAGTATTTAAAAGGTAAAACAATCCGGATGTATTAATTTCAGTAAAGGTGTGGTTTTGCTAAATTCAAAAGATTGATAAGAAAATTTTGCTATCTTAACAAAATTTAAGCAAAATAAAAAATAAATTGTTTGGGATTAGTCAATATTTTTTTAGTTTATTTTAAATTTTTTAAAATAATGATAAGAATTTTTTTTTAATTTTAATAAATATTTTAGATGCTTTGGACAATTAAAATACATTTTTCAGGAAAAGTTTGTTTGTCACAATAGATTATATCTTATTTCCTATAATAGAGCCACATGGGGCTCTATTTTTCAACTATCCTCCAAAGTGGGGCTGTATTAGAGGGTGGGGCTCTAACAGAGGGTGGAGGGGGGCTCTAATATAGGAAATACGGTATATAATATTCATTAAATTATATGTAGACTTTCTAGTAAGAGCTGTGCTGAATGTTAAAACTTTTTTGAATTCGACAATTTTTTACGTAAAATAAAGTTTCGTTTTTAATAAGAAACTATTTAAATTTATTAAAATTTCTATAAGTAAATTGAAAATATTATTTTATCACTTTAATTTTCATTAAAATTACTACATATGTTAATATTTTCTTCAATTAAAAAAAAGTAAATCTATTATTGTGATTGTCTCTACATTACAACATCTTATATGTAAATTTAGCAATACTTTTAGTAAACTTTTAATTTTTTTCAATAAATTTTATATTTTTTAAAGTTAAAACAAAATTGACGAACAAACATCATATTAAACTTTTGGCTTATCATTACTGCTCTTCTTCTACCAGTTTAAAATTTAAACAGGAAGTTGAAAAAATATTTAAATTAAATTAATTAAATAATTTATTTTAATTACAGACTCTAATTAATTAAAATAATTGATTTATTTAATTGATCAACGACCGTCGTCAAAATTTTTGAATCCATCGACTTATAATACTCCTCACATGTTATCGACATTTATTATAGTAAATAATTTCCCTTATAATTTATTTTATAAATTTTAATTTTATATGAAATTTAACTTTTATAAAGTTCTTAAACTTAATAAAAAGTGCTAATAGATATTTTTGGTTAACTAAAATTTTTCAGAAATTTAATCATTAGTCTTTAACTTCAATTATAAAAAGATTTTTTGAAGCTGATTGGTCCGGGGCTTATTTATTTTAAAAATTTGAAATGTTTTATTTTTTTTTGTATAACAAAGAATAACGACTATTGTTTAATTTCTTGAGAATTAAAATTCCGCGGTGCCAAAATTATTAAAATTTAGGAATTAACTTTCTGAAAACTTTCATATACCTAATTTCCGAACACCAATTAAATTCTCTAATTTTTATAATCTTAAACATTTTTAGAAATTCTAGAAAATAATTTTTAATGTTTTTTGTTGATAAAATAAAATGTTAATATTTAAATAGTATAATTTTATTTTGAAGAAAATAAACTTAAAAAATAAAAATAATTCAAATTATTGAAATAAACAAAAAATAATTTTAAATGAAATTTAATTGGCAGAAATCACTAGAATTTAAAAGTTATATCGTTTAAAATAAGTAAAGTAAAGTTTAAGAATTTTCATTTCTTCTTAGAATTTCTCATAAGACTCTATTTGATTCCGATCAAGTAGTATATATTTGTACATAAATCCTTCTCATATGCTTATACATCTTTCCCTTCTCTATTATATTCTGTCATTTACTCTTTATAATAAAATATTTTAAAGTAATAAAGAAAATTTTTAAAAATTCAAATAAAATTAATAATAAATAAATAAATTTAAATTATTTATTCTTCTAAATAATCCCTTTTTTACATTCCAACTTCTATCAATTCGGCCTATTCGGGCCGAAAATCATAATTTAAATGGAATTGAATTGTCCTAGATTATAACCTGAATTTTAATTAGGGTTGCCAAAATGGACCGACTCGGAACGAAAGATCGAGTCGGGCCTAAGTTATTTGGCCCGAAAAGGACTCGTAAGACCCAACTCGATAAAAACAAGCCCGAAAAAATGCTTTGACCGTCGACCCCTATTTATAATGAATAATTTTTCAGTATTTTTTGTTATAAAAATAATAAATAAAATTAAAAATATATTAATTTTTACTTATTTAAACGCATTAATAAAATTAGGTAAATTAAAGAGTTAAATTTAAAAAAGTATCTAAAAAATAAGTAAAATTTGTATCTAAATTTGGAAGTAGCTAAATATGTAAAAGTCATTGTTATCCAGCAATTTTTTTTACAGTCCAAAAACTGTAAAAAAACTTTTTTTTACAGTTAAACTCAAAATTTAAATAATTCAATTTAATTTTCATTAATTTTTATTTTTAAATTTTAATTTTTTATTAAGAAAACTTTTCTTACATCATTTATATATTAAATATTGATATATTATCAATTTTTAAATTCAATATTAGACAGAAATATGGGAAAAGCATAATAAATGTCTATCAAATAAAAGTCTCGTGGAGAGAAAAAGGGCAATAACAATCATATGCCACACAACCTATAGATTTGTTTTAAATTTAAAAAAAGTTTTTTTTAATTTTTTTAATTTTGGCCATTTAGAATTAAATCCTCATAACGGAAATAAAAAATTTTTTACATGAAATTTCAAAATTTTTATATCATATATGTATGATAAGTTTTGAATTTCTTAAGTTGTTAATTTTATTTCCGCTCACGAGGATTTAATTTTAGATGGCCAAAGATTAAAAAATTTAAAAAATCTATATATCCTGGGCATATGATTTTTATTGACTTTTTTCTCTTCACAAGACTTTTAAATTAATTATTATAGCTATTTAATTTATATACATATAATTTAAATTTTTCTTGTAATTTTTATAGAATTTTATTAAAATTATTTATTTATTTTAAACTTTCTTCAAAAAAATTTTTTTAGAAATGACATTTCTCTTTCTTAAATTAATTTATTTAATTTCAACAAAACAATTATTTTTGTTGATATTTTTTATTCCTCTTTTAAATTCATTGCAAAATCCTCAAAATTCTCAAAATGAAGAGCCAATTACGGATGATTTTTGTGGTAAATTTCCAAAAGCATCGGAAACAAAATACGTTGATGAGCCGATGTTGGTTTTTAGTTTTAATTTCAGAATTAAAATTTTGAATTCGAGTTTAAAAACAATAAAACAGGGGAATGGGTATATTCAATTGGATATTATTTCAAAAATTTACAAATTATTTACATAATTTCCTACAACAACGATAAAAACAATTTTAACGGATTCTTAAAATTTGATTTAAACATGGGGAAATTTATGACACAAAAAAATATTCTTTGAGTAAAACCTAAGAAACTTGAAAAGAAAATTTTTCCCTAGGTAATTTTCCGTCACTGTAGCTTAGCTGATAGTTTCAGATTTAAAATATAAAATAGTGTGGGATTTGTTATTGAAAAAATTGGTTGAGTTCTAGAGTAAATGCTGAAATTTACCTTAATAATTTAATTCTCTAAATTTAGAATAGTAAAGGGAGAAGTAGATATGCATTATCAACGTTTGATAGCTACAAAAAAATTACGAGATGATTGTTCTATAGATGGATCTGTTAAGGGTAAACATATAATTGATATAGAGGATGGTGGTACACTTAAGAATGTTATTCTCGCAGATCCAGCTAAAGGGGTTTGGTGTGAAAAAAGTTGTAAATTGATAAATGTCTAGTAAGTGAAATTAATTTTTGGCACATGAAATTTTAATGTTTTGCTTGAAAGATGGTTACCTACGATTAGGGTATCGAGTATCAAATATTGTCTCATAGTTACCAGTTTCTTTAAACTATAAATTTTCTGGGGTTTTCTTGATATGTATTTTCATGATATGTAAAATTGCATGATATGTATCAGGGTGGAGCTCGTGCCACAGAATACGACACACGAGATACGAGATTCTGAAAAAAAAATACGAGAACGAGATAAAACGAGATACGGGACCGCTAAGAAACACTAGATTTCACGAGATGCGAGACGAGCTCCACCACTGATATGTATCTTTTAGGTTAAATTAACCGTGAAGACATAAAATTATTTTTAAATAATATGTATATCCAAATATAATTCTTATTTTAGTTGGGAAAAGGTCTGTTACCATGCTGCAGGATTTTCTTCAGATGATAGTTCTCCAGCAGTTCATGAAGTTACCAATAGCACTGCATTACATGCTCCTGATAAGGTTCTGATTTTCTTAGATAATTTTATAAAATTAATTCTTTTTAACAACAGTTTTTCACCCAATCAAGTAAAGGTAAAACAATTATCAGAAATTTCTGTGGTCACGAATTTGGTAAAGTTTATTGTTCATGCGGATCAGGATGTCAACCACAGTATCAGAGGAGTGTTGAAATTTATGATTCAAGATTTAAAGGACCAGGATTGACATTAATTTGTTCGTTTAAATATAAAATATAATAATCTTATGTAAATAATTAAGCACTCAACCACAATTACAAGGACTCAATGTCTATGTCTAATGTTTATGTAGATCCAAACCCCAAAATTAAATATATTTGTCAGGTAAACAAATACTGAAATTATATTTTATATTTATTATGTATAGATTTGTTAGGATAAATAAATAAATATTGGTTTTTTCCTATCCAATCATAAGGGCGGTATTATATAAACAAGGTAGAGCTTCCGCTGTTTTGGGTAAATTTTTTAGGACTGGGATTTAGTTTAGATTAAGAAAAATATAGTATTGAGAGTAAAGTGGGAGATCTTCGATAAGCAGAATTTTTGTCCAAATCACCTTTTAATCCTCTTAAACCGTCCTCCAGTTTAATTATCGAAAATCATAATCCTTACTTCTCCTAGATCATCGATGCCCCTCTTAATCCCTTAACTAGAGCTGTCCAAGGTCTTGAATCTTGACTCAAGACTTTTCTTGGGGATTTACAGTCTTGGGGTGTAGCCCAAGTTTAGCCGAAGAACCTGATTTTTTAATAATAATATTATCCAAATAGAGTAAAATGAATTTATTGAAAATTTTGAAATAGACTTGGATTCTTAAAATTATCGCCTCCAATATTCTTAAAATTATCGCCTGCGGCCTAATAATGTTAGAAATCTGGCTTCTCGACCTCCAAAATTTTTAAAATTTTTGCCTGCGGCGCTAAAAATGTTTGAAATGAACAGTAATGTTTGATAAACATGCTGGATTTTGTAAATTTTCACACAACCCCGACCCCGAACCCCGTCATTATTTTCAGCCCCGACCCCGACTTTGTCAACCCCGAAAACCCCGATCCCGTTTAGCCGAAGAACCTGACAAAACATTAATATACCAACCATTCCACCCAACGAACCTATTCGCGATCTTGGCATTTATTTTACATCCAACTTAAAATGGGATTCTCACATTAAAATCACAACAAATAAAGCAACTAGAATTTATTATACTCTTATAAGATCTCTTAAAACTAACAATACTCAATTCCTAATTACACTATTCAAAATATATGTCTTACCTATCCTCGAATTTGGATCTCCTATAATTAACCCTTATTTAAATAAAGACATAAATGCTTTAGAAAATGTCCAACATAAATTCTTAAAAATAATATACTTACGCTCTGGAAAACACAATAACAGTCCAATATTACCTAATTATAAAGCACTCCTTGAGCTATTTAAACTTGAATCTCTATCGCATAGACGTCTAAAATCAAATCTTATCCTTTTCCATAATATTATTTCAGGTAAAATTAACCTAGAACACGATAATACATATAGCATTCTCCCCACCACTACTAGAGGTAATCCGCATAATTTATTTATACCTTTTTGTTCAAGCACCATTCGGAAAAACTCATTTTTTATAGACATCCCAAACATTTACAGAAGACTTCCAACAGAATTACAAAAATCGTCAATCGAATTGTTTCCAAAGCTCCTAAACAATATTAACCTAAACAATATTTTATCAAAGTCACATTCCATTTCATTGTCTCCAGACCTTATACAAAACTTTTGATTTAAATTATAATTACGTTTCACTTTATTTTTATCTGAATGTCACGTTTTATACGTATAAATTGAATTGAATTGAATTGAATCCCCGACTTTTTCAACCCCGAAGGCTCGGGGACCAACCCTAATTTAAATATATTTTTATTTTACAGGAATATACTGGAACAACGCAAACTACAAGTGATATGACCCCTACAGCTTCTTTCACAGCTAATGAAGCTGGAAAAGGCCAGTCTTGCAACTATTCGACAAAAGAATATTCTTTGGCATCAGAAAATACCAAAGAAAATAATTCGGACAAACAAAATCAGAAGGAAGGCACTCAAAAGGAAAACCAAAAGAACGATAAAAACGATTAAAAATGAAACTGAAAAAATCATGTAAAAAGCGAGCTAAACAATTTAACACAATCCAAGTCTCCCGCATTTTCACCTTTTGTTTAAAAAAAGGTTTCACGTTTCAATTTCATTTTTGTAAAGTTAAACTAATTTTATTTTTAATTTTTTGTAGATCCTGTCCCGTTTAATGGTTTCCGTTTCCTGCTTCGTTTCTCGGTTTTTAAGCTTTTTGAAGTTTTTTTGGAGAGGCTGGACAGACTGAGCATTGAACACCCTTAGTGATTTAGGTGTGATGTCGAGGGATCAAAAGGGGTTGAAGGGATTGGTGGTTTGGAGTATAGAAGGATATCGGTTGATCTACATAAGTTTTATATTTAAAGAAAAATCTAGGAATTAAGAGTTGTAATGGATTTCGAGGGATTAACGCATAATAAGTATGTAGAAGGATTGAGGTGTAAGTGATATTGGATATGGAGTAATTAATGCAGGGTAGTAGGGTTATGTTGGATACAAGATAGGAGTATAGTGGATATATTGGGATTTATAATGATTAAAGGTTTTGAGAATATCCGGCTATCAGTTTCGGTTCAGATAACCGAAGATTTCCAAGGTAACCGCCAACTTAGTTGGAAAGTACGAGTACGGGACCAAAATTATGGATGGATGTACAAAAAATATTTTTTTTTCAAATCTAAATTTTAAATTTATTTTATTATAAAATGTATTTATTATTATTTTTATTTAAATTTTATATTCAATTTTGTAACGATAAATCTAGTTTTCTGGGATTTATATTTTTAAAATTTATAAGGGAGCAGGCCACCGAAGAGCTATAATTTTGTTCAAAATGGTGGAAGCCTGCCCTGGTATGGTTCGATTCAACTCGTTGAGATGTATCGACTCATACAATGGCGTCCCGGATTCGACAATTTTGAACGAAGTTATAGTTCTGCGGTACTTTGGGCTTACCTTCGGGTGTACCCGATTTAAAATTTTAAACAAGTAAAAATTTTCCGGTTAAATTTTTTAATAAAAAATTGGAGTCAAAAATTATTTTTAACTTGCAATCTTATAAATAAAACTCTTAATTTTCATTAATTATTCGATTCAAAGCTCTAAAAAACTGACAAATAAATATTTGTAATGTTTGTATTTCCTTAATTAATGTTGGTATTTATTTAAGTATTAACAGGGAATTTATTTAGATTAATATTGTTAAATACTAGTTTCAAGTCTAGTTAGATATTCTTAAATCTTTTTCCGATTTTATTTTTATTTAATTAAAACTGTTTCATATATTATTACAGGAAATTTCTTGTCAAAAATTATTTAAAAAATAATTCGAAAAAATATATATAAATTCATTTTTAATTAAATATTAAATATTTATTTTTAAAATTAAATCAATTTTGTTTATTTAAAACTAGTTTTACGATTAGTTCAATTTAATAATAATGAAATTTTATTTTTTTAAAAAAGAAAGAACACTCAATAATTAAAACAAAAGTAAAAATATATTAAAGACTATTAAATTATATAAATTTAAGTTAAATTAAAAATAAATCATTCAAGTTTAAAAATAAAATAACAAACAAACTTTTAAAATTTTAAATTTATTTATTCTTTTGTTTACCCCTTTTAAATTTTGTTTTTATTTTTTCAATAAAAACTAATTTAAAAAAATTTTTTTTTCTTTCTAAAGATGATCTTTAAAATTATTTTTTATTTAATTTTAATTAAATTTGGAGACTCTCTAGAATGTAAACGTTATGTTTTAAATGATTATCCAATGGGAAATGCTGTAGATTTGGGAAATAAAATATTGGCATCGAGAGTTAGAAACGAAACTTGTCAAGATGATGTAATGTTTAAAATTTTTTATTAAAAAATTTTTTAAGAAAATATTCAAAGAAATTTATAAAAAATAATTTGATTTTTCTTATGGTTAATATTAATGAGTATTAGGTAGGGTTGTTGGCCTTCCCCGAAAGTCTGGGAATTTGAGAGTTTTTCTTGAAATTCCCCTCCCCCCGTGGTGCTGCCTCCCCGAAAAGTTATCCACAAGGCCCCCCGTCGGAGAACAACCTTAGTATTAGGTCATTTATAAAAGTGAAAACAAGTTTGTTAATAACACAACAAAGATTATAATAGGATTAATTTAATTATACATAAAGAGTCTTGCTTAATTTTTGCTTAATTTAATTTGAAATTTATATGTACTTTTTAACAATTTTTATATCGAAATACATAGAACATAACGTATTTAAAATAACTTTTGAAAATTATTTTTAACTCAAGAAATTGAGCAAAAATTCTGAAACTAATTTAATCATGAGATGTATTCCTATAAGATTAATTAAACTTTAAAATTATGTTACAGATTTTTCCCATAATTTTAATTTTCTATCCAAATCTTTAGGATAGTTATTGTGTTACATATACTCGCCACTACAAACATTTAAACTCTACAATAACCTCGCGTTCATGTGAAGGTTTTTGGAGATTAATAGTATTGATAAATAATGAAAATAAAGGTGAAAATGATATTGATACTAATTGTGAGGTTATTAATTAAATTTTTTTTGATTTTTGTAAAAATATTGTTAGAAACATGATGGAAAATTACACGAAACATCTTCATTTGATTATTCTGTTAATTGCTGCAAATCAGATTTTTGCAATGTAAATTTAAATTTAAAATTGTATTTTTTATTTTTATTTAGGAGGCGTAGGAATTTTGGAAGAAAACGATTAAAAAACGTGTATAATTTAATTATTTTTGATTTATAGAAAAAATTATTTTAAACTTAAATATTATTTTTGGAGTCTCTGAAATTATTATCAAAAAATTTATTTTAATTGATAAAAATTTTTTAGTTGATAGAAAAAATTTATAGTTTCATATAGTAAATATTTACAAGTGAGTACTGTAGAATTATATTTATACCTGTGTAGCACACAGTAAAAAATTCCAAATTTAAATTTATTAAATCTTCCCAAAAATTTTTCTTCTTTTAAAGATTTTTGGCGTAGTGACAGAAGACCCACAGACAGAAGACCCAAGGACAAAAGAACCACAGACAAAAGACCCATAGACAGAAGACCCACAAGGACAGAATACCCACAGACAAAAGACCCACAAGAAAATTTTTTAACTAAAACTTTATGTAGGAATAGCGTGGGATATAGATAATATAGAAGAAAAATCACGAATCCACTGATATCTATTCTTATCCGTGAATTGTGGAACTAGAAGAAGGGCATTAACATTAAATCGGATATGTCAGGGAATTTCAAGGGATGAAAACCTTTTAAGCTTTTACCACTAATCCGCTTTTATCCACCGATATTCCTCCATGTTATTCAGACTATCCCAAAGATCTCTACTATCCCAAAGATCCCCGACATCCTTGCATATCTCCGATACCATTGATCGCTTCTAATCCTTCTATATCCCTCCATGTGGACTTAACTGACTCTCGCTATAATCCAGTTAATTCTAATTACCCCTTGATTCTAAATATCCCTTTGATCTACTTTTCACTTTCATCGTCACAGACAAGATTTTGGAAATTTTGAAAGGCCAAGAAGCCAGTTTTCTAACTTTTTAGCGACACAGGTGCGAATTCTAAGAATTTTGGAAGGCCAATTAGCTATTTTTATACTATTTTTTATATCTGAACCTGATCCGAACAAGATATTTTGACACGGCATGGACCGGATTTTCCGGATAAAAATCCCGATAATCCGGAAAATCAAGATCCCTCTTCGTTAAACAAGTTCCCCGGTAATTGGGACAATATTCCCATCGTTGGAACAACCCATTGTTAAAATAACATGCACGTTGCTGGAACAAACTTCCCTAATATTGAAACAACTTTCCCGTTGTTGGATCAACCCCTTATTGTGGAAAACAAATAGAACTAACAACATCCCTCGCGCCAAAATTTATGCACAATAAAAGGGAAACAAAAAATAGTTGTGGGTCTTTTGTCTGTGGGTATTCTGTCCTTGTGGGTCTCCTGTCTGTGGGTCTTTTGTCTGTGGGTCTTCTGTCCTTGGGTCTTCTGTCTGTGGGTCTTCTGCGTCGACACGAGATTTTTAAAGAATTCTTCCTTTTAAAGAATTTTTTCCAATAAAAAATATTCCTAACAATATTTTCCAAAAAAGAAAAACAAATTTTATTTTAATATTTTTATTTAATTTTTATTTTAAAATTTCAAACTGACAAAAAATAAGGGGCAGCAAAAAACTTAAAAAGGGGGGAGGCGGGGTTTTAAAAAGAAAAGCCAAAATTGAACGGCTCACAAATTCTCTCTTTGAGGACAAAGCTTTAGTGCATGTATTAGCTCTAGCTAGAAACGTGGGCGTCAAGAGAGAAAACAACTATTTTTTCTTTCTTTCGCTACTAATCGAAAATAAATTTCGATCAGCCAGCTAGCAAAAAATCCATTTTTTGCACCTTTTAATCCAAACAAGCCGTTAGCTGGCAAGCCAGCTAACAATAAATATTTTTATCAAAATATAACTTTTTCCATTAAAAAAGTGCCAAAAACATCATGTGTTCATTCACAAATTTAAGCCTAAATTTATGGCCATTATAATGAGCCGTTCACGGTTTCTCGATAAACGATTAAACTTATACATGCACTTTTAATTACTTTGTTATCGTTTATCTTTTTGAAAAAACAGAACGAATCACATAAATCTTCTTTGTATTTTTTAGAAAGATACAAAGTCCAATTTTTTTAAAAAATATTTTTCTCCTTTTTATTGACTTGCACTTTTATATTTTTATTTAATTTTATTTAATATTTTAAATTTTTTTTGGAATTTTTGGAAAAATCAAATTTTTGAAGAGTATGCATAAAACATACTTTTACTTATTTTTTAATTTATTAGGGACAAAAGGTCCCGTTAGCCTCCCCGCCCGAAAAAAGTCTTAAAAAATAATGAGGGGTCGATATAAAATATTAAATTTCAAAATAAATTACCAACTCTAATATTTTAAAAATTTTAAAAAGAAAAAATAAAATTGAAAATTTTAATTAAAAGGGGGGGGTTATCAGAGTTGGCTTACAATTAAAAAAAAAACTACTTATTTAAAATTTTTCCTAAAAAATAAACTTTTTAAATTTTTATTTAATTTTCCCTTCTATTCTTCCTCTTCATACACAAATTTCTTCATTTCTTCAGCCACCTCCACTTCTTCCCACTGCAAGTCCACCACAACCACTTCCACTATTTCCTTTCCTTTACTACTATTAACTTCTTTCTTTATCTTCCATTCATCCTTCTTTTTCTCAACCACTTCTTTCTTTTTATTTTCTTCCTTTCCTTCCTTTCCTTCTTTTTCTTTTTTAATTTTTTCTTCTTCCTTTTTAATTTCTTCTTCGTACTTTTTAATTTTTTCTTCTTCCTCCTCATCTCCCCAATCCACTTCTTCATCCCATCCTCTAACTTCCTTCTCTTCTTCCCATTTTTCTTCCACATCATAACATCTTTCTCCTCTTCCAATTCCTTCCTCATCATCAAATATCGACATCTTTGAAAATTAAAATTATTTTGTATTTTTATATTTTGATATTTATTTATCTTATTTTTTCAAAATATAAGAATACAATAAAAAAGAATATTTAAATTTGATTATTAAAATTTCTACATATATTTATATTAACATTCCTTTAAAAAATATTTTGTATTATTTTTTCCAAAATATATAAAAATTTTTTATTTAAAATATAAATAATTTTTGTATTTTTAATTTTTATTATTTTTTTTTGTTATTTTTATTTTTTTTTCCTTTTTCTTTCTTTCTCTCTCTTTTTTATTTGCGCCCTTTAATCAAAGAGGGAGCAATGACACTTTCCGTGCCGAGAGTTCGAATTGTTTCGTTCGAAGCTCTGCGCGGAAAGTAGTTAATTCGCTGCCTGCGGGGTGCAATAGAGGATAATTCGACCTCGTCCTGAGAGACTCGATTCCTCCGAGTTTCTCTACTGCGAGGAGGATTCTCAGTCTGTCTTCTTCCTAAGAGCGAAAATATAGTCGTTCTTATAGGGAAGAGAAAATAGACTGTCAAAATTGGGACTCCAATGTCCCTTAAAAATAGAAAGGAGGAGAAAAGGCAGCTACAAATCATCCACCAGTCTACAAAAAGCTTCCATTTGCTCCAAAGCCAAGTTTTAATTGTGCCTTCCAGTCCTCCTGGCATGGCACCAAGAGCAATTGCTCTACTTGATTCCACGGTATTAACCGAGGATTTCCAAGTTTCATACTGGGACAGTTCATTCACATGAACAAAAAGAGGCTCCTCTGTGGTATTCCTAAGTACCCACTCATGGAATACTATAGGCGATACACTCATGTCCGGAGCTGTAACATTATCCTGGAAAATATGTAGCTTCGACTGTTCCACTTTGTCCCAAAGGCCTGTTTGAGTGTTAACCCGAATCCATTGGTTCGGGCCTATATTCAAATAACGTAAGCGATACCGCTCACAATCTGCAGGAAGAGAAGACTCAGACAATATACGCAGTTCGGGGTCTAAAAATCCGACTTGAGTACGGTTATGCAGATTTACTTCCACCGGAATATATTTATAACATCTATCGACCGGTCGAAATTTAATGCTGCTCCAATCGATAGGAGCACATGAAAATACTTCTACAGTATCCTCATTTAACCATGTAGCAACGAGAGCTTTCTTATGGAATGCCTGTCTGACATGATAAGTTGGATTATCATGTCTTACAATTTGTTGACGGCATTTTTCCTCCATAATTTTATCATAAAATTCCTTTAGGGCAATTTCAGTGGCGGTTAATTCAGCCGCAAGTTGTTCCTCATCGACAGAACGCTTCTGTCTTGAGGTAAACATTTTTATAAATTCCTTCTCGTCAATGGCAAATCCCTGGTCTGATTTTCTAACAGCTCGACCATTGCAAGCAATTTCTCGAGAGGCTTCATAATTGAACGAGAGCGCAATTTCCTTTGTGTTCGAGATCCAAACAATTCTTTCATTTGCCTGGCTATAATCTCCTTCCCACCTTCCCAAATATTCGTAGAAGCAACTTTTGCAATTCCTAGTCTCACAATTAGATTCCCAAATGAGACTCGAGTTGTCAGATAACTGACAAAAGTCAGTTATGAAATGGCACTTTTTAATTTCAAAAAGAGGAGAAACCATTTCTAGAGTTTGTGGATTATAATGAAGTGTGGTTGGTTGTAACATACAGTTAACAACCTCTGAGGATTTTTCACCCCAGAAAAAGGAAGAAAATCTTCCTGGGAAATCTATATTCAAGATTTCCTCGTTTTTCCACATTCCATCTTTCTTTTCCATAATCTTTTTATTTAAAGGGCATATTTTATTTTCCCTCATTTTTAAGCAATCTTCCTTTGAAATTGGAAGCAAATTTTGTTCCAACTTAAGAAATTTATCACCCAAAAAATTTGTGTAATAAGTTTCTTTTGTGTATTTTGCGGAACAAATTAATCCTTCAACAGGTTCGGGGTGTGTAATTTGGGAATAAGTTTCGAAACCGAAATTTTTCCATTTTCGAAATTTATCCTTATTACAAAATGTGGCTTCCTCTTTAGAAGGGAATTTCCACAGAGCGCTGGACTGCGTCGCGCACCAAAATACGGGTTCCCCATTTTTTATTTCATTTATTATATTTTTTCTTCTAAATCTATCTATTTCTTGATGTTGTTCCTTATATGTTTGTAACATTTGTGGGGAAGCACGTACCTTATAAACTGTTTTGCTGCCTGAAGGTGTTCGAACTCTGGTTCGTGTCACTTCTTGAGTTGTTAATCCAAAAAAGCAGCAAATAATTAATACAATAAGAGCCAGGGTTCCCAAATTTTTTAATAATGATCCACTTTGTCTTGAAGTTGACTGTGTTGAAGTAGAAGATTGTTGTTGCAAATTATTTGTAGAGCCAGAAGTAGAAGGCGCTCTTTGTTGGATTCGTTGTAACAATTCCTTCAGTCGTTCCTCCAAAGGTGGTCGGACTTGTGGCTGCGCCGAAATGGGAAGCATTTCCTGTTGTTGAATTATTTGTTGCTGTTGAGGTTGTTGTGGTGGGAGCGGTTGTTGCAAATTATTTTTAGGAGCAGCTGGCTTTACTTTTTGAGCCATTGGTCCAGGTTCTTCCTCAGAATCTTCATCAATATATGTTTCTCCCAAAATTTTCCCTTTAGCCTTCTTCAAATTTTTAAATTTGCCATTATAATATAGATATCCAGTATTATAAGATTCTGCCATATTTAGGAATTGCTCTTCATATTTCTTCCTTTCCAAATAAATTTTATTTTCATTATGAATTAGAGTAATTTTTATTGGGACACCAGCTCTTCTCCAGAATTTTAAAGACCTATCAATTGAGGCCATTATTACATCATCGGGTTTCACAACTATGAAAAGGTCCGTTGTTTTGATTCCAAAGTAAATAATGGTGTGTAGATCGGTTCCACCATCAAAATAGACCAGACGACAATCCCCAGGATTGTCACACCTATTAACCACAGATTGAATCGAAGCGTCAGCCGCAATGATAAAAGGCGCTTCATATAATCGCAATTTTGTGTTTCCCTTGCATCTCTGGTAGTTACGCTTCGTTAATAATTTTGAAAACATCCTAGTAATGTATGATGCCCATTGATTGAGTTCTTCTATCAGGGTTTTAGGCGGCTCCTGAAGTTTGATTTGACCATTCCAATGGTAATTAAATTGGTGTTGAAAGACTTTACAATTCATTCTCCGAAGCACAAGAATATCAATCAAAAATCTGTCTTTAAAGGCCTTCTTTGGGTCCAATTTAATATATTGCCAAAATTTCACTAGTAGCCACATTGGATTCATTTCGGGCTGACAGAGTTGATCCCTAATTCCTTCCCAAATTTGATTGCTTCCAAATTTTTGCCTTCCAAACCAATTGAAAACCAAATAATGTACAAGTGTTGTCATTATTGGGAAATTAACTTGAATAGGAAGGCGTCGAGAGTGCGCAGTTCTACTAGAAGTTGTCGATTTGATGCAATCCAAATGATCAGGTCCTTCGCATTTTGAAAAAATATCATAGCCCCACACTTCATTTTCTATTTCAGGGGCAGGCCACATATAATCTTTCTTTAATTCAACTACTTGTCGCTCTCTTCTTGAAGCCAGGGTAGCTATCTGCTCCTTCTGTTTTATTCTCCATCGATCGTGTTTATCTCGATCATATCTCTGTTGGTATTTTTTGAGGGATGCGACTTGAGTTTTATAAAATTTTGAATCATCCAAATCTTTTCTTCCTTTCGCTATTAGACGATCCCTCTTAGCATTTGAAGCATTAACAGACGCTAGTGTTCTAACAAGCATATTGACGCCAGGTGGTTTAGCAGAATTTCGAGGTATTACACGTCCATATCTTATTATAGGTTTAAAGGGGATTTTAAATTTGCCTTTAAAATCATGACCATATTTTCGGTAACTATACTTCTTTCCACCTCTTTTTTCTACCACAAGATTTAAATCAGGCACCACTTTGCGCTTCTTTCCATTACGTTTTTCCTCTTCTTTTTCCTTTCTTTCTTCTTCTAATGCTCTATCTTCTCTTCTATCTTTTACTCCTGGGAGAATTGGAATTTGAGGAGCTTCCAAGATTTGAATTTCTTCTTCTCTTTCCTTTTCTTTCCTAGATTTTTTCATGATCCTTTCTTCTCTCATGTCTCTAACGGCAGGCATTGTTGGTGGGAGACTAGATTCTACTGTTGCCATCATAATAATTTCGGGTACTTTGGTTGGTCGACAGAGTTTTTTGGTTGGTCGAGCTCGGGCAGGGAAAGGTGTATCTTCTTCAGAACTTGAATCCATTTCTTCTTCTATATTTCGATCCTTAGGTTGTCGTAATTTTAGTAGTTGTTGTTCTGATGACAGTTCTAAAGGAAAAATTTGAGTTATACTTCTTTTAAAAATTTTTCCTAATATATTTAATTTAACTGTTCGAATTATTCCATCTCGTCCTCGAATTAAATCGATTATTCGAGCGAGTTTCCATAAAGGGCGGGGTAGGTCTTCCTCAACGATAACGACCTCCCCGACCTGTGGTTCCTTGCCAGTATTTTTACCAATTTTCTCACCTCTTTCCCTAAGAGAGAGGAGATATTGGGATTTCCAAAAGTCCCAAAATTTATTTAATTTTTTATTTATTTCTCTCATATTTTTTAATCCTTTCTCTCTACTCATTTCCTCCTCATAATCAGAATCATTTCCTATATTCGCAAAATTTATTTCAGCAGGAGCATATGGAATTAGGAAATCAATTGGCCGAATAGCCCTCAAAGGCTCGCCATCAGATTGATAAGTTAGGGGGCGGCTGTTGACCATTGCCTCGAGCTCACTAAAAAGAGTCGCAAGCTCGACATGGTCCAATAGCTTCTTCCCTACGCTTCTTTTCAAAGCATTTTTCACAACCCCTATCATTCTTTCCCAAGCACCTCCCTCGCGGGGGTTTCTCGGGGTTGTAAATTTCCATTGAGTGCCTCTGTGAACAATCCATTGTTGCACTTCTTGGGTGCACCAGGTTTGTTCACTTAATTTTTTAATAATTTTGGCACCAAATTGGAAATTAGTGGCGTTGTCAGAAAAGATAACGCTCGGAATTCCCCTTCGAGCAATAAATCTTCTATAAGCCTGAAGAAATGATACTCCAGACAGATCATATGCCAATTCAATATGAACTGCGCGTATGACCATGCAAGTAAAAAGAGCTCCATAGACTTTCTCAGGCTTATCTTGAATCTTTGCCGTCATTGGACCAAAGAAATCAATGCCAACATTATTGAAAGGTCTGGCTACATTAATTCTCTCCTTTGGGAGTAAATCAAATCTTTTAGGGGCATATGGTTGCAAATTAAATTTTTTACAAATTAAACAGCCATATCGAGCCGAGTTTAATACATCGCGCACGGCTCGTCTCCCCTGAGGGATCCAATAATTCATTCTTATTATTCCCAACAATATTTGAGTTCCACAATGATTATTCATTTTATGTAAATTTATTATAATTAATTTAGTCAGCCAGGCTTCTTTGGGTAAATATATTGGCAGAATAGCTTCGTTTGGAATATCTGACTCTTTAATTCTGCCCTGGCAAATCCATATTCCTTGAATTTTTGCCATATTTAATACCCTTTTTCTTTCATCTTCAGGAGGAAAGGCTTCTTGTGCCTTAATTATTAAATAATTTTTCGCAAATTTTAATTCTTCACTTGATAAATTATTTTTAAAATTTTTAATTTCTTCTGCTCCTAATATTCCTTTCCATTTTATTTTAGTTCCAATTTTTCTTAAAAATCTAAAGGCATAAGCCAAAGCTCGAATTAATCGCCAATAATTAGAAAATCGCTTCTCTATTATAATCGATTTTTTAATTGGCTCTTGCTCAATTATAGCCTCCATTATTTCTTCATCAATTTTTTCTGTGCCAGGAATATATTCAAATTTGGGGTCCACCCAAAATTCTTTACTTTCGGATAGCCAATTAGGACCATTCCACCAAAAAATATTTCTCTGGAGGGCACTTGGAGTAGTCCCTCTGGAGCAAAGATCAGCAGGGTTCTCCTCACTAGCAATATGTTTAACCAAATATTGCCCTCGAATTTTAGTAATACGATTGGCCGTAAAACGGTCATATTTTTCGTATTTATTTAGACGCTCAATATTACATTGAGAGTCAGTCCAAATAGTTGCTTGAATTTTTTCAAATTTTAATTCATTTTGCAGAAAATTAAGGACTTTAACCCCCAAAGTCAGAGCCTGAAGCTCAAGCCGGGGTATTGTTGCCTCTGTTAATTGTAAACGAGCGGGCTTTAATAAGCTTTTAGCAAATATTAAATGAGCTCTTTCTGCCTCGGCTCGTACATAAATGGCACAACCGAATCCCACTCCACTGGCGTCAGTGAAGCAATGAAATTCAGGATTTTTTAAATCCCAAAAATTTAATTTTCTTGGGAAAAATATTTTAAGGGGTTGTCCATTTTCTTGCCAAGTTTGTAGAACATTAATTAATTTTTGATAATATTCATCATTTATTCGATCATCCCATTTATAATTATCCTCCACAATTTTTTGCATCAATAATTTAGCAGGAATTAATGCCGGAGAAATAAGGCCTAGGGGGTCATAAACTTTAGCAATTGTTGATAATAATTGCCTTTTTGTTTTAAAATTTTCAATTTTTGGAAATTCTATTGAAAGAGTTTCTTTTTCCAAATTCCATTTTATGCCAAATATTTTTGTTTCTTTTAAATTAGGCGATAAATCTTCTTCAGGCACATCAAAAAATTCTTCTTTAGTTGCCCCAAAAAATTCGCGCAGCCTCATTCCTGCTGCGGAAAAAATATTTTTAGCCTCCTTATAAACTTCTCCTATAGTACTTCCTTCTTTTAATTCAATCATGATATTATCCATATATAAATTCTCTTCTATGCTCCGAGCAATAGGAGAGTCGAATAATTTTAAATGCTCCTGAATAGTAGCATTTAATAAAAATGGAGAGACAGTTAGTCCAAAACTAACTCTACAAAACCGATATACCAAACATTTGGTGTACGGTATCTGATCGGGACGGATTTCTTTGGGATTAGCCACCCAGAGAAATCTTGTACAGTCACGATCAGTCTTGCGCACTCCTAATTGAAGAAAAGCTTTCTCAATATCTGCCAAAATAACCTTATTTAAAAATCTGAATCTTAATAAAATTCCGACAAGTTGCTTCAACAATAATGGCCCGGTGTACAGGCAATTATTTAAGGAAGGTAAAGCTGGCTGCCCTGGAGGCTTGGCACTGGCATCCATTACAATTCTCACCTTTGTAAATGTTTTATCAGTGCGAACCACTGCGCGATGAGGCAGATAATGGACAGGGCCTTGTGATTCTTTAGGATTCTCAATTATTTCAATCATTCCATTTTCTAATTGTTCTGTAATTATTTTTTGATATTCGTCCACAAGGCCCAATTTTTGTAATTTTCTTATTGTATTTGCCAATCTGATTTTTGCGTGGTGGAAATTAGTTGGCAAATATTTAATATTTTCATTGAATGGTAAGGCTATTTGATAGCGCCCATCAATGAAAGTAAGATTTTTTCTAAAATTATCCAATACTTCTTGGTCCTTAATTCGAGGAGTTAAATCATCCATTCCTACTCCGGATAGGCCAAAAAAGGTTAACAAATTTTCTTCATTTTCTTGATCAATTTCTTTATTTTTCTGATGTCTATTTTCAGTAAATTGAATTACTGAATAAATTTGAGTAGTTTGGGCCTTATAAATGCCCGTAATTAATTGTTGAGGTTCATCCTCAATTTGTCCTAGGCCACTCATTATTGGCCCCAATCTTGACTGACAAATTGTAAAACCACTCGGCAAAACCTGCATTCTTTGGACATGAAGCTCATGCCAAATGTCCATGCCAAGCAGGATGTCAGGTTGCCGATATTCTGTAGTCAACAATTTTTCTACATAAATTTTATTATAATCCTGTAGCATTTCCTTTACATTGTAGTAAGGAAGAGGATTAACTAAGAAATCCAATTTATTTAAGACCATAGTCAACTTCTGATTTTCTCCTCTTAATCCAATTTTGACTAGGTCACATTTATATTTTTTGGGCATACTATTTCCAAAGCTCGTCAAATAATACTCCTCACTTCCAATAGAATCCAAATTTAATTTATTAGCTGCCTCTTTAGTAACAAAGGATCTCTGACTTCCGGGGTCCAGGAAGGCGAGAACTTTTAAATTTATTTCCTCTTTTTTAGGATTAAATACTGTAATTTCTACAGTCATAAGCAAGGACTTTCCTAGTCCATCATTATTTAAAGGCTCAATCATTTGGCAATTCACTTGCTGAGGGGCCACTTCCCTCTTGGGGGAAAATCTAACTTCTTTATTAAAATTATTTTCCTTCGAGGAATTAAATCCTCCATTATTAAAAGGAGAACCATCTCTCCTGATTCCAATCGGAACATTATTAGCTCCAGTTCCTTTCCAATTATTTAATCCTGGACGATTCGGGCCAAAATCGAATCGATTTCCAGGTACATTTATTTTATTTCTATTATTAAAAAAATTTATTTTATTTTTATTTTGAGCCTCATTCCATTTAGAATTATTATTGAAATTATTATTCAAATTTTGGCCAAATTTTTTGAAACATAGGGCACGGGGATGTCTTCCCCCGCAATAAAAACATGTTGAAGGCCTTTGGCATTGAAGTTTTGTATGGCTGTTACTCAAACAACCCATACATAAATTTTTTGAACGCACGAATTGAATTCGGGCGTTTGCATTATTATATTTTTGGCACTGGTCAC